TGTCAAAGGCGTTGCCTTAGTGTTGTTCGTTTCTACAGCTGCTCAACTCCTGGTACAGATACCTTATGTACTTGCATACCTCATGGCAAGTACAATATCTCCCCACCTGCCACCTTCTACACCTTCTACACCAACGCTGCATATTCTCAGCGGAGACCACATGGTGTAATGCATATATCTTATTAAGCATCACCTAGCAACTAGAATTAGACTAAACTCAAGATGGATAATATGAGAGAAGAACAGGTACCTAAACTACCTCATGTATTAAATGCTATCGGCTCCATCTAGCAGTCACAGAAACGGCAAGGGCGCGAATGCATCAGGATAACAAAACGACCGCAGCAACCGTTGTTTATAGGATTCTAGCAAGATAGAGTACCTATGTAAAAGAAATACTGAGACCATTTTGAAAGAATGCTCGATTGTACGTCTACGTCTTGCGAACAGGCTTAGGAATATACGTATAGTTATACCAAAAATATCTAGTAAATAAGTCCAAGTTAAGCTGAAAGTTGAATACAAGAAGTGTCGTTGGAAATTACAGGGATCAGCTCAGTGGATAAATTCGAGCCGCAGGAACCCCAGTCTCCGATCTGGACCTCATTAGCTGTCGAAAAAAGGTACATAGGTACGTATACTGCCTAATTAGGTAATTTCTTATTTAACTTTAAGTGCCCTTCATGTCCCCCCACTAGCAGAACGCGTTCGCTTTTACGTAGTACAGCAAACCGCGTCTTTAGCTTATGTACGAAGTATCTAATTTTGTCACACATTCACATCGGCTACTATTAATTCAACGAAGTCGACCTTCCACCAAAATTGACATACCAAATTTCCACTCTGAGCACCCTCCTCTGAAATGACCTCTTAATCCAATCACCCTGACATCCGCTTGAAATCACGCCCGGTTTCCCGATTGTCTACCTATTCCCAACCATGTCGTCTCTACAACCCCGCCGTCGGTCGAGAGCCCGGTTTGAAGAAGAGAACGACGAGCAGTCTTCAGTACCAGACTCACCAAAACGACAGAGGCGTGATACCAACGGTGCTTTATCAGATGAAGACGGAGACGATCAAAGCGATCAGGGTGTTTCGCGACAGAGACGGATTAAGAGCTCGAACTCACCGTCGGGAGCCCGTCATGATAACAGCACGGGAGAATTCCAGACTGGTGCTATAGTCAGGGTCTTAGTCGAAGATTTTGTCACCTACGAACATGCCGTGTTCAATCCCGGCCCGAATCTCAATATGGTCATTGGCCCAAACGGTACTGGCAAGAGTTCCCTAGTCTGTGCTATATGTCTTGGCTTAGGTTACCACCCAAAACATCTCGGCCGGGCGAGCAACGTGGGAGAGTTTGTAAAACATGGGAAAGAGACCGCCATAGTCGAGATTGAATTACAAGGCCGACCAGGCGAGCTATCCAATCATGTAATCCGCCTACAGATTCGCAAAGAAGATAACAAGACGAAGTGGTGGATCAATGGGAAAGAGAGTACGCATACTGCTGTGAAAACCCTTACGAGTGATTTGCGCATTCAAATCGACAACCTATGCCAATTTCTGCCCCAGGATAGGGTCGCCGAGTTTGCCGGTCTTACTCCCATACAACTTCTCCACGAGACCCTACGAGCTGCTGCACCCGAAAAGATGATCATTTGGCACAACCAACTGAAGGAGCTACACAAGAAGCATAAAGAGGTCAAAGGTAGACTTGACGCGTGCGCCGAGACTTTGAAAGGCCACGAGACACGCCAACAGGGATCGCAGGCCGACGTAGATAGACTTCGCGAAAGAGAAGCGATCCAGAAGAGGATTCAAGACCTCCATAAGGCCCGTGCTATTGCTGAGTATAATAATCTTCGTCGCATAGTAAGCGAGGCGAAAAAAAAGTGCAAAGATGCGATCAAGAGGCTACAGGAGCTAGAACAAGCATGTGGGCCTGCCTTACAGGCTGTCAATCGAAAGCAGGAATATCGGCAACGAATCGAGGCCGTAGTCGGGGAGCGAAAGAATGCGTTGAAGAATGCCGAGGCTGCATGCGATCGACTTTTGCAGAATATCGAGGCCCAAGAAGAACAGATGAAGCATCTCCAAAATAAAAAGGTTGCGGAGGAAGGGTCTCATAAATCCAAGCGAAATGATCTTGCGAAAATACGCAGGACAATTACAGATCTCGAGGCTAAATTGCAGAACAAGCCTCCGGAGTTTGTTGCTTCTGATTGGAATCAGAAAATTGTAAGTGACAATATCCTTATCTCCCATAGTTCTCTATTGCTGATTTACACACCTAGCGGCAACAAGAGCATATACTGCGCGACAACGAAGCAGAGAAACGTACATTATACAATCAACTCAACGAGCTGAAGGATCAAAATGCTAGGAAGAATCACGAGAAAGGACAGCACGAAAAGGACTTGGAGGATCTAAATTCTCAAGAGGGCCAGAAGCTTATTCATTTGAAAAAAGCCCACGCAGATGCTGCAAAGGGCTGGGAATGGCTCCGAGAGAATCAAAATGAGTTCGAGAAGGAGGTCTTTGGTCCGCCAATGCTCAACTGCTCCATCACAAATCCGCAGTACTCGGATCAAATCCAGTCGCTCCTCGCTAGGGAAGACTTCTTTTGCTTCACCTGTCAAACTCGCAACGATCACAAAAAGCTGAGCGCACAGTTCTTTGATAAGCTAGGCATTTCAGTAACAATCAGGACTTGTGGTAGCGAGTTCTCCTCATTTCGACCGGTCATTCCTACGGGACAAATTCGCGAGATGGGTCTTGACGCATACGCCATTGAGTACCTAGAAGGCCCGGAGCCAGTTCTCGCGATGCTCTGTTCCGAGAAGAGACTACACACCTCCGGAGTTGCTCTTCGGAATATCAGTAATGATCAATATGAACTGATAGCAAGCCGTGAGGGGATACCCAGTTGGGCCTCTGGCCCCTTGATGTATCGTATCACGAGGCGCAGAGAATATGGCAATGCAGCTTCAACTTCTACGAGAAAAATTCAGCCGGGCCAGTTCTGGACAAACCAACCCGTTGACCAGGCTGAAAGGAATGCACTGCAAAGACGTATTGACGAAGCGAATGGAGAGATGCAGGAGTTACGAGGACAGGGGCAAGAAATCAAGAGACGTATCGCAGAACTAGACGAGGCTGAGGAGCCGATCCGTCAACAAATAGTAAGTAACCTATCTCTGTTAACCCATATATATATATATATATATATATATAGCTCGCGATTCTAACAACTTTAAAGGATGCATTTAGGAGAGAAAAGAACGAGTTACAGAAAGCTGCTACGCTATATGCAACTCTTGGAGATAAAATCGGTCAGTAGATACTGCCCAATGAATAGCAGCACTAACTAACAAAAATTATAGCAACCGAGAAGAGAGCCCTAGAAAACACGCAGAAAGACCTTCTAGATTGTCGAAAGCGAATATTCGAATACAGCGCTCAAGAGGACCAGCTCGTCATCGAAAAGGCTAGGTCCGTTCTAAAACACAAAGAACAGCTTCCTCAGATCCGCGATGCCCACCAAGCATTGCTAGAGGTTCAGATCCGCCTCATTGAAGCCCAGTCGGATGTCAAAGGTCTAGAAGAACAGAACTCCAATATCAAGCAACAGCTTGACGAGAAGAGAGACGAGATCAACAATGCCAAAGCCGAGATAGAGAGGTTAAAAGTCGCAGCAATTGACGCTAGGCATAAAGTAGAAGAAGCCGTTGATGACGGCGGCGATGACCGACTCGCCTACCTGAACGGCTTAGCGGAGGGTAAAACCGCTGAGGAAGTTGACCACGAGATCGGCGCCGAGTCTACTAAACTCGAGCTGATTCACGGGGTTGACCCCGCGATCTTACGACAGTACGAGAAGCGCGCGCAGGATATCCAGGAACTGACGCGCAAGAAGGAGGAGCTGAACGCGAAGCTTGAATCGTACGTCAGGAAGATCAAGCAGGTGATGGAGCAGTGGGAACCCGGTGTCGACGACGTCATCGGCAAGATCAATGACGCCTTTAGCTACAACTTCGAGCAGATCAACTGCGCGGGCGAGGTCGGCATCCACAAGGACGAGGACTTTGAGCAGTGGGCCATCGAGATCAAGGTCAAATTCCGGTAAGTTTACCTCCTTCCCTCTAAAGAAAATAATTAGAAGTCATACTAACATCCCATCCCCCCCTAGCGAAAACGAAACCCTCCAACAACTAAACCAACACCGCCAATCCGGCGGCGAGCGTGCCGTCTCCACGATCTTTTATCTCATGGCCCTGCAGAGCATGGCGCAGGCGCCCTTCCGCGTCGTCGACGAGATCAATCAGGGTATGGACCCGCGCAACGAGCGCATGGTGCACGAGCGCATGGTCGAGATCGCGTGTCGCGAACACACGAGCCAGTACTTCCTTATCACGCCGAAACTACTCACCGGTCTGCGATACGACGAGCGCATGCGCGTGCTGTGCATTGCGTCCGGCGAGCATATGCCCCCGGCGGAGGATGCGAAGAAACTCGATTTTGGCAATTTGGTGAAGATTCAGCGGAGGCTTGTCGCTTTGGCCGCGTAGATGATGGGATGAATGGTTGCAAGGATGTTGTAAGGGTATAATGGTCCAGATCCATTCTTATGGTTGCAGTTCACGTGCTATTTTAGGTGCAGATGTGTGTTTATGAGGGAATAGGTGAAAACGTATCAATGCCATTGTAGGAGTTTTCAGGAATGGTGAGATGGTAAGACTTAAACCCTGTCAAAGGAGTAATGAGTACCTAGGCAAAAAGGAAGGATGGCAAGGAATAAATGGATTTAGAGAAGTGATTGTCACTGTACTCCGGAGGGAAGGACTAAATACCTTGATACCAATACATTGTTTACTTACTACACTGGTCTCTTATATTACATGCACTCCCAACTTGTCATCCTCCCTTATGTATGCTACGCTATCGACAGAGGAAGGAATAAAATAAAAGCGAGCTACCACATCTTAAATGCTATTACGGAGGAGTCAAATTATATACGATTAATATTATATAAGGTAGGTACATTAGCTACTGGGGGTATCTAAGTATGCAGATACTACCTATCACTTGCTTGCTCTATACAAGCTTCCCCTTTCACATCTTCATTTCTCATCTTCCCTCCTCATAATCCTTTCTGTACTCATCTTACATATTCCTCAGAATATCCAACACACCCTTCACCTTACCCCCCAGCGTAAGCGCATACCCAACACCCACAACACCCTTCGCGAACCTCCATCCGCGCTCCTGGCTCCCCACAGGATACTGCACAGGCAGCGGGATAGAAGTTCTTATCCCCAAGAACGCGAACCGGTCCTCGCATATGCTCTTCAGATTACATAGGCCCCGTAATCCCTCCTCGGCCGCGAAGCGTCCGTATCCCGAGCCGCCGACGCCGCCAAATGGTAGTTGCACAGCGTAAAACACCGCAAAGTCGTTGACGGCGACACCTCCTGCACGCACGCCGTGGACGACTTCTCGTAGAATAGGGTCCGAGTCTCGCCCGTAGACCGAGGCGCCAAGGCCAAAGTCAGGCGCGTTGGCTAGACGTAAGAGTTCCGCGGCGCTAGGCGAGGGGGACCGAAGGATTGTCATGATCGGCCCGAAACACTCTTCGTTCGCGATTGCCATGTCAGGTGTTACGTCGACAAGGAGCGTCGGCTGGAAGTAGAAACCCTTAGGGTGGTCGGGATGTATATATCGGGTACCGCCGGCGAGAAGTCGCGCACCGTTGGCTACGGCGTCTTTAACTAGGCTCTCGAGTCGTGTAAATGAGGCGTCTGATACCATAGCACCGACATCTTTGTCCAATCCGAGGCGTATAGCTTTGACGCGGGGTTCGAGCATAGCCACGAGTTTGTCGTAGACACCAGGCGCGGCGACGATTCGCTCGATACCGATGCAGTTCTGTCCCGAAGCCTGGAAAGTTCCACGCAGTAGAGTCTCCACGATCCGCTTAAGGTCGGATTTCGCCGAGTCGAGCACAATGGCAGCATCTTTACCACCAAGCTCTGCGACTAAGGGGATGAGGCTTTTGGCTGCGCTAGAGGCAACATGATGGCATACGGATCGGCTGCCGATGAAAGTAAGATGACTGATGCCAGGATGACTCGTTAAATGTCCAGCAGTTTGAGGCCAGCAGACGACGGTCTGTATTAGCTGGGGATCGTGACCGTGTGCTACTAGTGCGCCTCTTGCAATGCTCGTGTAATATGCGGCACTCCAGCACGTCTGCTCGCTAACTTTCACAACAATACCGTTTCCGGCAAAGATGGCACTGATGATGGGACCTATCATATTATGAAAGGGGTAATTCCAGCTGACCAAAGCCGCCACAACACCCAAGGGTTCGTATTGAACTGTATTCTTCTTATATGCCATGAGAAGATTCGTAGGACGCCGGCTCGGACGTAGGGCCTTCTCGCCGTGCTTGACAGTCCATTCTAGCTTCTCGGCCGTAACCATGATCTCACCCAGCTGAGCATCCAGCATGGTCTTACCCGAATCTAAAGAGCTCACTTGGCATATCTGCTCCTGATTATCAAGCACATGGTGCAACATGGTGCGCAACACCTTCCTCCGCTCACTAAACGTGGTCTTGGCCCATTGCTTCTGTGCCGCTGCTGACTGGGCAATGGCACGATCGATGCCGTCGGGCGTGGAGGGGTTGACAAAGCCGAGGAATTGGCCTGTAGCTGGGGCGTAACATTGGATGGCGGTTGTACCTGAGACCTTGATGGTAGGATTGTCGAGGATCTTGAGCTCGTCGGGTTTCTTGGGAGCCGGGACGGTGTATCGCTTCGGTTTATCCCAGTAGTCGGTATGGGTGTTGTAGAGTATTAGACCACCAACGACAGCGAATATTATGGGGAACGCGGCGAAGGCGAAGTCTTTGATCCTGTATATGAATCGTTATGAGATAGCCGCTTGGAAGGGGGTATTATTCAAGACCTAGAGACGTACGGGAACCCTCGTATGAGGATGCTGAATTCATCGACCCATTGAACGAGGTCTTTGGCCGCCATTTTTTATATATATCCTGCCCTGCCACTTTCTGGTTGAGTGAATATATCATCGCATAGTTAATTCATAACCCAACCGAGGAACTTTTAACATAATCTCCTCGAGGGAGGTTGTTCAATTGCAGGATATAATCGTACCATCAGCTCTATGAACTGAAGCTCCATTTTATTATGTGTTATCGATAGCCCCTGGTTCCTGCATTCTAGGTATATCGTATCATCGATTCGACAGGGGTAAGAGCTAGGTTGTCGACTGTAAGTCAGGTACGTATCTCCAATCTCTACGGATTAGATATATCTTATCGATATAAGATACGTCCCTTATGTCACATGATAACTGTATAACCCCACGTTAGTGAGGTAACTCTCATTGAGTCATCCCTCCTCAATCGCTCTTTTTTTTTCGGGCTATACGACGCGGGGCACACCAAGCAATGCTGCGTGCGCTCTACAGAGGGAACAGGCTAATAATTTCTACTTCTCTCAGAGAACCATCATTTACCACCAGAACATTCTTTACCCCTTCAAGTCTGTTGTGTCAATCGTCTGTCCGCCAACATCTCCCCTCTGCCGGAATTGGCGACATGGCTTCCAAAGAGGCCAAGATATCCTTGAAGGCGCCCAAGGGTACACGCGACTGGTCGGGCGCAGACCTTCTCTTACGAGATCACGTCTTGTACGTTTCGCTCACCACTATTTGCGCCGACCGTATGCTAATCTAGCATCTAGCGAGACCATTAGCAACATATTCAAACTCCACGGCGGCACTCCCCTCGACACCCCCGTATTCGAATTAAAGGAAATTCTAGCTGGCAAATATGGCGAGGAGGCCCGTCTGATATATAACCTCGAAGATCAGGGAGGAGAGCTATGCGCCCTACGCTACGATCTGACAGTACCTTTCGCCCGTTGGCTGGCCATGAACAATGTTCAGCAAATCAAGCGTTACCAGATCGCCAAGGTCTACCGTCGCGACCAGCCGGCCATCGCCCGAGGCAGGATGCGCGAGTTCTACCAGTGCGACTTCGACATTGCCGGAGCCTACGATCCCATAATCCCCGACGCCGAGATCTTACGTGTCATCGTCGAAACCTTCGATGCTCTCGGGCTCGACATTACCATCAAGACCAACCACAGACGAATATTAGACGGCATATTTTCCGTCGCAGGTGTTCCCGCAGACAAGATACGCCCAATTAGCTCGGCGGTAGATAAGTTGGACAAGGAACCGTGGGACGTCGTTAAGAAGGAGATGGTGGAGCAAAAGGGTCTCCCTGAAGAGGTCGCCGACAAAATTGGAGTGTTCGTGCTAAATCGAGGCACTATTGACGAGATGATAGAGTTTATTAAGGCCGACCCGAACCTTTCGGCCAACGAGGAGATAAAAGCTGGACTTGCCGATATGGATCTCCTATCTTCTTATTCTAAAGCACTAGGCACTTTCGACAATGTCTCGTTTGACTTATCGCTTGCGCGAGGCCTGGACTACTACACAGGACTGATCTTCGAGGTCATCCAAAAACCCGCCGACGCAAAAGACAAGGACGGCACACGGTATCCGGGGAAGTCGTCCAAGAATGCAGATGCTTCCGCCGTCGGTAGTATTGCTGCAGGTGGCCGATATGACAACCTTGTTGGCATGTACGGCAAGAAGCAGATCCCCTGCGTTGGCATCTCATTTGGTGTCGACCGAATCTTCACTATCCTCAAAGCGCGGCGAGGCGCGAATGAAGGCCGCTCGCGTCAAGTCGATGTATACGTCATGGCGTTCGGTGGCAAGGAGTTCAACGGCCTACTGCTAGAGCGTATGTCGATCGCGCGACAGCTATGGGAAGCCGGCATTCGCGCTGAATTCAGTGCCAAGGTCAAGCCCCGTCTACCGCAACAGTTCAAGGCCGCCGAGGAGGTGCCGCTCGGCATTATCCTAGGTCAGGACGAGCTTGCGGAGGGCAAGGTGCGGTTAAAGGTTTTAGGAACTGGGAAGGGTGGTAAGGAAGGCGAGAAGGATGAGAAAGACCAGGGACAACTTGTCTCGAGAGAGAATTTGGTCGAGGAGGTGAAGAAGTTATTACAGACTCAGACTCTTCCGATACGGTAGATACCTAGATAAATACGCTCCCCTAGAGGTAGGATTTAGAACAAGAAAAAAAAATATGTTTAGAAGTTGGTCGGCCTTATGTGATATATTTGTGACATGAATATGTTGGACTTGATTTAGGGGTAAAACTCTCATGTTAATTTGAGATTATAGTCGAAGGATGATTGCTTAAAAGGGCAAATTAGACGGCTTTGGATTCGAGAAAGTTCACCAGATTAAGTATCCTTCGTCTCAATCCATAGTTGAGCTAGTGTCTACGAGTAGTTGTGGGCTAATAGGGGGTAAAACTGGATGCGCTATTAGAAACTCCAAATTGTAAATTTATTATATTAGCAAGGCTTGTTAATAAGTACATTTGAAGTAATACACTAAACACCTAAATCATATATACCATCCACTAATCCTCACTATGTGCCTGGTAATATAGAGTTTTTCGTCCCTAGGGCCAATATACTGTATTTCCATCCAAACGGGCAAAATGTCCAAAGCGCCTCGTAAAGGTATCGTTAATATACAATATAGCATTACATTCCAATATACTCTTCTCGTCATTACGGTCGTAAACTGCCCAGTTGAATCAGCGAGGCTGGTCTAAGGCTATATAATTCGTAACACGGATAGAGCCGATCGTTATAGTAGGCCAACATACTGAATAAATGAAAGCGAAATCCAGTACATGAGGCTTGAGAATTTCCACAGGCCGTCTTATTCTGTAATTCGAGAAGCCCTGATCGTTCTATATAGACGATGTCTCAATGGGGTCTATCAAGATAGTCGTGGAGTTTTGATGCGTTTAACTCTTTCCTCGGTATACTTAAAATACTTTTCTAATCGTTCCTCCAAGAAAGTGCCCCTTTCACGGTGGGGGCGAGGCTTTCGGTTGCGGTGCTGGGTCTGGCTCGCTCGGTCGAATGGTAGGGGGGTTGAGAACAGGAATATCGTCTACAGCAGAGCCGGTATCAGGATCATGCGATATAACAATTGAAGGAGAGCCCTGGTTATTAGTTATAGTAGTAAAAGACGCAACTGGCGAAGGGGTTTGCATGGCCCGCGGAGAACTAGGATGAACTACTGGGACCTTGAGTGTGTCCCGTCGTTGTCTTGGTCTACCTCTAGTCTGCCCGGTAGAAGATGATGCTTCTTGAGATTGTACATCGAATGAGCTTTGGTCAACTGGTAAGGTATTCGAGTGCTGAACTCCATGTGTTGAGGGCGACGGTGATGATGAACGCGATACGGGCGAAGGTGGGTGTGGGGCTGATATTGCTCGTGTCCTCGCCGGACTACCTTCAATACTGTATCTAGAGCCAATACTACCGGCGAAGCTACCTGCTCTTGGCCGTATGCTAGCGCTCTCGTCTTCGTTGCGATAATGGTTGTACGCCTCTCTAACCCGAGGTAGGTCTGGATTTCTTTTATCTTCCGCCGGGATCTCAGGGAAGTCTATCGCTTTCCCATGCTTAAACTCGGAATCGTCGAATCGATCCTGCGATGCCGTGCCCAGATAATTACTAACAACCAGTAGCGTATTGTACACTTTACGCCGGTTACCTATGTCGTTCACAGATGGCCGACTTTCAGTGGGCGCAAGTTCGGTTGAAGTTTCTCTTCCGCTATTTGAAGAGGTAGATCGAGCATGGGTTGTACTTGGGGAGGCGACGGAGTGAGAGGAACTAATGAAAAGACCACCGTTAATCTCTTGTATAGATGGAGAGTCTCTTGAGTCATGCTCCGGATGGGTAATGTCATCGCAGTGTGTGACTTCAATGTCCCCGCTATGTAGAGAAGAGCTGGCCCTGGGTCTAGTAGGAGGTTGTCCGTCATTGAAATGATGGCGCGAGCAATTGCAGTGATGGATAGGACCTGTCAGGTTCGCGTCCTTCTTCGAAGCTTCTATATCTACCGCGAGAAGCATGTAAAGAGATCCTAACGCAGCAAGTCCAGTACCGACAAGGGGCGCCCACTATTCGGAATGCCGTAATTAGTAAAATGTCTCGAGTAAAGTTGACGAATCTAGGTCAATCTTGAGAGTGGAAAGAGGACATGAGTGAGTTGAGAGAACTACTCCGATTTAAGATGAAAATAGTTGGTTGCTAACCTGTCCTGTTAACATGACTATTAGCATTTTGAACCAGTTGCAAATGCCGGTTAGTACGTACCTATGCTACCCATCGGTTCAGTCTGATATGAGACTTCGGGACTGAAGAAGTTTAATTCGCCAAATATGATAATGGCGATTACCGCAGCGCTGAATAGAGGAACCTCTAGGGTGCTTAAGAAAAGCCTAACGACGTGATTGACTTTACTCATCGTCTCGACGGTGGCGCCATTCGTCCTATTAGTAGCGCTTGTTGTTAGTAACGGATGTTCTCAAAGGGAAACATGCATGGGTAATCTAGATCGACGATAATTAGGTAGGAGGTACTTATGCCGTAGGGCTGTGTACTACCCATAGGTGAAATAGGGGAAATAGACTATTGAGATCTTCTTACCCTTCAATTAGCTGGTCCCCTTTTGCTGGACCGAACCTTGACTTCCAGTTAATCTCAAGGATTTTATTCCACATTGACACGAGCGAGAGGACAGCGGGGATACAGCAAGCTGCTGCGAGAAGCGTAACGGCGTTAAACGCAAGTCTTTTCGGTGCTGGTATGACGTAGATTTCATCCGTAGCCTTTTGCCGTAGGGGAGACCAAGGCCCTGCCTCGATGGAGCAGGTGAGGTTACAAAATGCATTCTCGTAGGGGAAATCTCTATAGTCATGGAGAGGAATAGGGCGACCTGACTCGTCGTGCGTGCAAGGTGATGTTGTGGTCCGAAAGAACTCGACTGTTAAACTAAGTAGACCTTCTTTCGTAAGCGTACATCCCGAAACCCGTAATGGAAGTACGTGAAACTTACCAGCGAGAACGATGCCAGTCCAGAGAAAGATGATGTTCCGGCCAGGGTTTTCGAAATAGGTTCGAGATATCCTGACTGACAATGGAGCCGCTAGTATTCCAATCGAGCAAAACTGAAAGGCCCCATAGATGTCCATATCAACAGCAGCTAAGGTAAAGTGCCATTAGCTAGTTGCTGTAAAGCTTTGGCTCGACGTTATAAATACTTACTATCTACGTGTACTGCGGCGAGAACAATTCCATGAAGGGCTGCAACGGCAGGGAAAATCACTGTAATTCGTTACATTAATTACTATTACTTGTATGCGTTGAGTTGTATAAGCGTTTCGGGTTGCTATAGTAGACAAACAACAGGAGTAAAGAGTTAGGTACTTACACGCAGCTGCTAGACAAGCGTTTCTAAGCCACTCTGCTTTTCGAGCAAAGACGCAAGTTGCTACAAGGACATAGTATCTATAAAGACATTAATGATTAGTTTGGTATAACAGTTGATGCTATAGAGAACTGTATACGAATGGGTAGGGTAACTTACAAAACCCTCGATCCCGGTCCATACTGCCCTGACACCGGCCAGGCGCAGATGACCTGGACAACTTCGTCTGTGTTGGTAGCATTAGTAGCATTAGAAACTAGGGCAATAACAGATTCGAGCGTTACGTCTCGACCGGCAATGGTATTCAGTAGTAAAGTCGAAGGAAGCGCTGGCATGACCTAGGAAAGACGACTCCAAAAGGAGTAAACAGACGTGGTAATCACATTCGTAAGGGGGTTGGTTACGGGGGGATTGCAAATGAGAAATGTCCCATCTCGAACATTTAACTGCGTTATTTTGTAGATAATCTGGCTAGGAGCTAGGACAAGTGAAAATAAAGCATGAAAGCAGCAGAGTATGAGGTATGTAGGTCTTCAAATGCATCGATTGCCTCGTAGTTTCAAACGTAGGGCTAACGAAACGACGCGTAAATGAAAATAATCATAATCTAATATTATCAAGCAAGATTCCGTCAGCTGAATTACAATATGTCGCCCACACCCAACGCCAACGAGCACCGCCCCCGGAACGGTTCTGGGCACCGAGGGCGATTTTGTTCAGCCTCAATCCCATCTCATTTCGATTATCATGTACCTATGTAGGTAGGATGTAGGATGTATGAATACGAGCAAGTACATAATAAGCCGGCGACTACATAATTTGGTGGTTGGTGTTTGTACTCTGCTAGGATTCTTTAAGGCTTAGGGCCGCTTAGAAGGGGAGACACCTGACTACAGAATGACGCACCCCCTATACCGAACCCCAGAATAGGGATGATAGAGCGGGTCTAACCCCAGAATCCACCATTATTACTGGATCTTCTCCGCATCCTTCCTTTCTTAGATGTCGCTAATCGGGTTACACCAATCACTTCATTTCCCGCTCCCGATTGGCGTTTGTGACTAGGTTCGAGGGTACATTGCATAACCCTGATTTTATATTTTATACACTACAGTTGCATAGCGTGATTAATTATTATTATTATCATTCAACACAGCCACAGTGAAAAGAAAACCTAACAGGGTCTTGACTGGGGTACATAGCTAGACCGAGCGGCTGAGAGTAAGCATCTATCATAGCTTCTAATATTCAACCATTGTCATAGCCCTGTTTTTCTCTTTTACCTTTCGTCTTAATACTCCTTCGTAGATACTGTTTGTTTCGAAGGAGATTCATGCGTATATGTAATAGTAATCGAGTTTGCAAAGGTATGTGTATGGTTTTATTTTCAGGTACCCGAGTGTCTTGGCCATTCTCAGCCTCCATCTGATATTCTACTGTCTAACCCCACCGCTCGAAGATATCTAATACAGACCTCTTCAATCTCATCAGTCCTAAATCCTCATCGTCACAGAATGTACGCGTTAAAGAGGTTTGCGTTCTGAAAAGATTATATATACCTACTTGTTAGGCTATGTCTAGTGGGACTACTCCTTTTCTCGTTAGGAATCTTCTTGGTTACCTAATATCGCAATATATCTTTGGGATTTAATACTGCGGGAACACGAAAGTTTTGCCGAGACAGCTCAACTAGCCTCGCCAAGGAACTGTCAAAATGGCTGAGGATCTTAGTGATATCGACATCAATCTTGATACGAGTATAATTCGAGAGTGGAGATCAATCGTCACCCTCGTTGTTTTCGTCATCACTAGTAAGTACAAAATCTATCCAGGCATACGACATCTTCAACCGATCTACTTACACTACCACGCAGATATCATTGTGCTTTTCCCCTTTCATATCCCGTTGTACATTCCTAGGGTAATCTCCAATGCCATACTAAATGCTCTGGTTGCTTTGCGGGTGATAGGCCCACGGCAAAAAGGCTCTCAGTATGAGGCTGACCTTGATAATGATCACAACGAGGAGCAGCATGGCATAGCTAGGCATTTTGTACGACTAAGATTCCCTATGAATTTTGTGACAGCGCCCCTGATAGCGGATCTCTTTCTACTAGCTATTCTAGCAATTGGCCGAGAGGAGGTGTACGGTGGTACGATTGGTGCTAACCACATCTCGCCCATCGACATCATGGCCTTTTTCATAACGCTGGCGTACATCGCTATCTCTATCGATGCTTCTGGTCTTATCAGATACCTCGCATTTAAGGTGCTCCAAAAAGGAGGGAAGTTTGGCCACAGGCTCTTTTTTTACCTGTACGCCTTCTTTTTTAGCTTGGGCACATTTATCGGCAACGATCCCATCATCCTATCTGGCACGGCCTTTCTTGCGTACATGACCCGGGTCTCGAGCAACATCATACATCCCAGGGCGTGGATTTTCGCCCAATTTGCGGTAGCGAATATTGCATCGGCGATTTTAGTGTCGTCTAATCCTACCAATCTTGTTCTCGCAGGCGCTTTCAATATTAGGTTCATCGATTACACCGCCAATATGATCGTCCCTGTCGTTATCACAGCGATTGTACTTTTCCCCTTCCTCCTTTACATCGTGTTCGCGGATGAGACCCTTATCCCCCTCTCAATCCAGATGCATGAGCTTTCGGAGGAGGCAAAAGCTAGGAAACCTGTTAATCCCAACATTCCTCATGCTAGGGGAAACGCTGAGGAACAGGAGGATGATCCGGCAAATAGCGAGCAAAGCAAGTTATTGTCCTTGGAAGAGATCATGAACCCTTTCCTAGATAAAGGCGGTGCAGGTTTCGGAGCCGTCATCATGGCTGCAACACTTATCACAATCCTTGCGATCAATGCTGCCAGTCAGAGTACCGGTGAACACCCTGTCTTTTACGTGACTCTACCAGCCGCATTCGTCATGTTCTGCTGGGATGTTACATTTGGATGGATTCATCGCGAAGAGACGCGAAAGATCGCCCGTGATGGCCGACGTGATATCGAACGAGCTCGGGCTGAGCGACTTGCTAGGGAACTTGAAGAATTGGAGGGGATTACTTCAAGTCAAAACCGAGAGCAAGAGCAGAAAAGTTGTGTTAATACTCAACCTAGCACGTCACACAGCCGTTCGCTAGATACCAAATCGCAGAATCAGAATGACACTACCAGTGGTATTAGATCCCGCGCAAGCCTAGCCGGTTCAAATACGGATGTTGAGACTACTATAGGAGCCGAGAAAGCCAGTATAAAGCCGCCAAGTGAGGAAGTTCAATTACACGACGGCCACTCTACTAACGCGACGAACACGCTTGGCGAACACCAGAGATCAATCCATGAAGACTCATCTAAACCATCGGAGGGTATATTAAGCGGAGAGTTAGGTGAAAAGAGCCGAGTGCCATTCGAACGAGAGATAGATGCGGAAAAGCAACCTCGTTACAGCGTCGCGATCCAGCAAGAAAATGAGAAAGCGACGCTAGTATCGCTAACTATAGACGGTTATAGATGGGCACAGGAGACATTCCCAACGGCAGCAGTAGTTATGAGCCATTTACCTTTCGCACTCGTCCCCTTTGCCTTCTCCATGTTTGTCCTCGTACAAGCTTTGGTTACGAAGGGTTGGGTGCCCGTGTTTGCTTACGGTTGGGACCACTGGGTGAATAGGACGGGAACGATTGGCAGTGTTGGCGGGATGGGATTCCTTTCCGTAATACTTTGCAACGTAAGTTTTCACACAAACTTCACTTGTACCTAATATTTGAGTAGGTACCTGGTCTTGATCAGCTAACCCCTGAACCCAATTTAGTTCGCGGGAACCAACATTGGTACCACCATCCTTCTCTCCCGCGTAATACAGGCGTGGCAGAAGATTCACCAAGCCAATAACACACCAATCTCCAACCGGACCTTTTGGGCTACGGTTTACAGGTACGTATCTTTATCTTACGAAGCGTTTGATGTGATTTATATTCATTTAACTGAGCGCCAAACAACATTCAACCCCTATTTTTCATTTACCTTACTGCGAGCCGCTAACTAATACGCAATAGCATGGCACTTGGCGTCAACTACGGCGCGTTCAGCACAGCTTTCAGTGCATCCCTAGCCGGCCTCCTCTGGCGCGATATCCTCGCCAGGAAACATATCCGTGTGCGAAGGCTCGATTTCGCCCGTGTGAATCTTCCGATCATCACGATTTCTATGGTTGTCGGTTGTGCTATTCTTGTTGGCGAGGTCTATATTATTAGGCCTACTACCGCTTATGACGCATGATTGCAGCATTTGTTAAGCCCGCATAGAGTTTTGGTATGATTGATGATATCTGATAGAGGTTGCATATGAATAATGATATTTCATGACATTTTTTGGCTACACGATTTGATGGCTATTCGTATATGTGCAGGATTGTGTTCACTTTGGTGGCGAGGAAGTCCCTCGACTTCTACAGAGCTGATTTACATTTACAGAGCTTATTACCAGCGCGACCTGTCCCAGGTCCTATTACGAGTATCGATAGTTCGCGCATAAGACCCCGAGGTGCAGCAGCCACTCCCGAGAGACCCCGTTCCGTGGCTGCATGAAGGGTCCGATATCTCCGTATAGAATCATGATGCTAGATTATTGTGGTTTTTGGGCGAGTTAGGCATTATTGACACTCATTTTCAGGCAGTTTCTATTTTCTCACACTTTGACAACTAATTTCGAACGATTACAGGTATCTAGGATGTAGATATTGATATAAAATGTTGACCGAAGTAGTAACAGAGACTAAAAATACTCTACCCAGGGAGTTAGGATCGGGCAAGCTGCGCTATATCGCACCCGGATCCGTTTAAACAAGTCCGCACAACCTCCATCTACCAGCTATAACTGAATTGCCTGGTACAGAGGGTGAAGCAACCCGGGAGTCTTTGGAGATTAGGTGTCTTTGTATTTGGTAGCGCCGAGCTTCGTATACTCTCCCTGCACTCTTATTTACTGTTATACCTATTTCTGTTGCATCGCGAGGATGCAATATGCTAGATGCGATACTTGTCGTATTAGGCAGCTACTTAAGTGATATAGAAATCTCATGAAGTAGGCCATCTGGTAATATACGCCTGTCGACCTATTGGAATGGTGCTATTGCGGGATAACCGTGCTACCTAATCCATCTTACATGTGATGGCTTATTACGCAAAAATAATCCCACTCTTGTAAGTAACCCAACATTACAAATAGGTATTGGCTGTAACGCCAGTGAACGCCGCCACATCGGCTGAGGCGTTTTGGGGACGTAATTTAGGATACATCGTAAATCACTTGGCTTTGCTTCCGGGGTGGTTTTTGGGTAGCCGTAACAAAATGGCTAATCGGTAGGATGTGTCTTCTCGTATAGGTAGCAGACGGTCTTTGGTATCTTGGCGGCTATATTGAGGTGTCAAGCCTTTTAGATGCCCTTCATGACTTCAACCATTAACAAATCCCACGTTAAGGTGCCTTTGTGAAAGTCTCTTTCGAGAAGAGTATGCCATAGAGGATAACGAGACTTGAGTTGCTTCATAATCATAAGCATCTTTACCCTATCATCAACAGGCAGACCCAGTTGCTGTAGACGATCAGTGATCTCTCGGAATTTGATGGTATAATCACTCAATGATGTGACGGTATCCATTTTAAGATCTATGAGCTGATAGAAGAGTTCGGGGATAGACTGTTCCGGAATTTTCGGGATGGTTGATAAGACAAGATCATATAGAACCTTAGGGTCCTCCTCGTTCTCCTTCCAGCCAGCTATTTCAAGTTGTGCTTCTATTTCTGGGGTCCTCAAAGAATGAGTAATAATAATCATGCACTGTACACGTCTTTTGCGCCATCTTAGAAACTCGTCAACGTCTTGGGGTTCAGGTTCAGTACCCAGTAAAAAGCCCTCAAGATCGTAATAGATGCAGGATTGGTAGATATGACGTTTCCAGGCTTTCAAGTTGCATTCTCCAGTTAGCTGAGGGACCGGGGGAAAGTTAAATGATGGTTCCTCCATTTTGGTGAATCTGGTGAATAGTTATCAAGAGTGATAGATGCCTAGGGAATGTATGTGTATGTCGCTCGAACCCGGCGACGATACGTATAGTTCGGGCACGGCTGTTGACGAAAGATAGTTCAACCCCGACAGGTACCTAACTTTCGGTGACTGACTTTTGGCGGCTGACTCGAATACGGGCTACGCGAAAAGGGCGTTGTTGTAGAAGAATGAATAGTTCAAACCTGGCACAAGTTTGAAATAAGAGGGAAAGGTGGGATCGGGTATGGCCTAAGGAACGGTTTAGTAAGGAAAGAGCGTCTTTATGAAGGTAGCTACGACTTGACGGTTAACGATTTACGAAATAGCCTAAAAAAAAAAGGTACGTAATGCTGGTATGGACCTAAATTGATGTACGCAGCGCGCCGTGATACCGACAGCAAGGCTCTAAATAGCTTCAATATACGAAAAGATAATTGACCTAGGTAACACAAGCTATGATTTTATACCTATACTCTCAAATATCACGCTTGTGTTGTCTCAACGTCAACAATCTCATCGCGCTTCTTATCCAACTCGTTGAACTTCTTTACCACCCTCAAAGTAGCATAATAACTAAACGGCAACGCAATGAACCAGAGCGCAAGGTTAATGCTGGCCGTAACAATAAGCGCTGTTGGGACGGCCTGGATACCGAACCCTACGGCGAGACCAGCTGTTTCGATCCCCCGAAGCAAGGAGCTATATCTGATCTGGTCGCCCGGAGAATCCGATAAGTTGCTGATACACCAATAGATGTAATTCTCGACCATTCCGGCGCTGAGACGCTCAAACATGTAAACGCCGAAGCCACGGCCGAACTCGGCTTGGTTGCCCCAGTCCAGGATAGGGAGCGTGTGTCGATATTCGTTCTGGATATACACTGCCCAGATCCATGTCGCACTATTAAGCAGTGCGATCAGGACGTATGTACTAATAGCTCGAGTCTGCCTCTTCTTCGTCCAGTGAACGTCGACCAGCGAGCCACCTAACCAAGTCGCCAGAGTGCCGACGATGGCGGACATGAAACCGCCAAGGGCTCTCGATCGAACTGTGAAGTATGTTGCCAGATAAGTTCCCGGATATGCTTGGGCCCAACCAAAGTACCAGAAAAGGGGCGTCAAGAGTAAGATTGAACTGCTCCTTATCAACCTCCACATCTCGCGGAGTTCAGTGCGCCAATGAATTCCCCTAGGCGCTTCGATACGAGTTCCATCATCTCGCTGCACCTTCTCGGGGTTAGAAAGGAGAAGAGCAAGTGGACACCCGAGGCATTGGATGGCGATGAAAACTAGATAGGTTTGGTATCCCACTTGACCGCGTTGATTCACGTTAACATTCAGACCCAGCGAGATGGCGCCCCCGATAATATTCCCAAAGTTGCGGAACGTAAACCACGTCGCGATATAACGGCCTCGCTTGTGATGTTCAGGATATCCCGTCGAGACGGCACCCTCCACGCTCCAGAAGAAACCCGCGCTGATACCGCACGTAACGGCGCCGACGTAGACAAGCCACGTATTACCCCATCGATTATTGACGTAGAGCCCAGCCGCGTACAGGGGATACCCAAGAGTCCCTATAGACAGAGTCCAGCGGAACCCAATGGCATTCGTCAACCACGGCCCGCCAAAACAGGTCACCGTCATGAACGCGTAGAGCAGCGCATTGGCGGCGTTGACGAGGTCCGGGCTCTGCGATCCGCCTACGCCGAGACCGTTCATGGCAGTCCATATTCCGGGTGCGGAGAAGGCGCATATGCCTACCACAAGAATCTGGAATAGAGTGCTCCTGAAGAATGGGATTTTATCTGGATTTGACGGGATGCCGTCCTCATTTACGACCGTGACGGAGGTCGGAGTAGCTATATTGAGGCCATCCTTGGCGACAATTGACCCCCCAGACATGGCGACTGGTGTTGAGTAAAAAGCAATAAATATGTTAGATGATATAACTAGTATAAGCTAAGTTTATACAACTCAAACTCTTTGGGACGTCCCTTAGGTCAGCATGAGAGCTTGTGAATATATATATTAATTGGAAGCTCATGCCAATGTTATCATCTTATGGTCGGAGATAACTCAACGATAACCCTCGCTCCAGACCTTTTTCCCCATTGAGTTTATCACAAAACATACGCGAGTTTCTATAGCTCTGACGTGCTCGCTAGGCGGCTAGGCATCTAGGCAGGGTAGGTGGCGTATATTGTGTTAGCCCCCAAATAGACATGGCGTTTCTCCTATGTGCTTGACATCTAATAGAAGTTCCAATGAGGCGCGGGGTTATCAGTATTGGCAAGTTCACAATGCTACCTTAATTGTTCTCCCAAGCAATGACGTGATTTTAGTCTAGAAATCGAGGGGCATGGGAGATGCAGGATATACACTAGCATGATAGGTTGATGCTATCAGCGGCGATACTAGTCCAGTATGAGCTTTATCGCCGTGGTATACTATGTCTACACGATTCTTGAAGCTGGATATTAGTTTTAAGAATAGATTCCGAGTAACATTGGAAATCCTTGTAGAGTACGAATTAAATACCTAGATATCTATCATGGCTACCACACTAGAGCAAGCGACGATACAGTCGTTCGAGCCCGAGAAGATAACTTCTCCGTTGCTGGCCTTCGAACAGTTTGATCTCCCGTCGAGTAATCAGCGAGTACTCGGGCCGCCCCATCCGGAAGGCACTGTGATTCCACTCGCCCTCCGGCCATCAACGCCTAGCGATGTGGTGCCTGATCTTGACACTGTTATTGAAACAGTAAAGCATCTCCAATCGCAGGGTGGCATACTAACTAAGAAGTTGGCTGTTCACGGAACGCTGTTGTTCAGGGGTCTGCCAATTCACGATGCGAATGACTTTAGCAGATTTGCCCATGCCTTTGGTTATAAACCACGGTATGTATGAAACCACAGCGCTTGGTTCATGTCTCTTCGTTCTTGGACTGTCTCTAGAATGTCATTATGATATACAAAAACTAACGTCTTCGCAGTATGTCTTAAACCACTCCCATCATTGAATATGCCGTTATTCCGGTACTCCGGATTTAACCCCTGGGATGAAAATCAATCCAAAACCACTAACACCAAGCAGACGAAATCATCGGCATCGTCGTAGACAGGCCACTCCTCGCACCCAACGTCGCTCCAGCCAACGAATCCCCCAAGGAAGTCCTAATCTACAACCACAACGAATCACCCCAAGTCCCCCACGCCCCAGAGTACATATTCTTCTACGGCCACAAAGCCCCCAACCAAGGCGGTGAAACCCCTATATCCTCCTCCATCGAGCTCTTCCACCGCGCGCAGCAGGAAATCCCCGACTTCATCAACCAGCTCGCCGAAAAGGGCATCCTCAGCAAAGTCACTTACAAGACCGATAAGCAATATACCGGTGGCTCGACGCTAAAGCAGGCTTTTGGAAAGGAGATCCGGGACGGCGATGACGAAGCGACCAAGCGCGCTAAGATCGAAGCGCAGATCGCGCGGTACGGCCGCGGCAAGTACACCACGTGGGAATGGACCGACGACGACGGCGTCGTCCTGACCCACCGCCTCCCCGCCATCCGCACGCAGCCGGGCACGGATCTGCCCACCCTGTTTACCGGGCTGGCCGCGTACTACAAGAACGTGCGGGTCAACGCGGCTGCCGGGCGGAACGTCACGCAGCAGCTGTTCGGGGACGGGACGCCGATCCCGGAGGAGTACCTGGCTGCGCTGGCGAGCATCACGGATGAGATCCGCGTGCTGCATAAGTGGCAGCGGGGCGATGTCCTGGTGTATGATAATATCATTGCGCAGCATGGGCGGGAGCCCTGGCAGGGCGAGCAGGCTGATCGCGTGGTTATGGCTAGTTTGTTTGACGGCCAGGTCCCTGGGGCTTATATTTCGGAGGATTGGGCGCAGGTTGTACAGGCTCTTGAGGGATAATTGGGTTATGTAGGTTGTTATCATAGCTTATAGATATTCAGAGACTCGCATAATGGTTCTCATGGCTTTGAGTTAGCGAGGTGGGTTTAATAAGCGCATGGTATCTCCTATGCCGCTGTTTAGAATATAATTCTGGTTCTATTCGACTCAAGTCGATAAATCGCCGCCAAGAGAAATCAAAGATGACCCCTATATAGTCTTATATTCCAAGAGGTATCAAAATCAACGTAATAGTCACCCAATAAAACGAGAGCACGAGACCAAGATAACGAGTGACGATACTGTTACAGACTTTATTTTCGCAGAACACCTTTTATGTCAGCCGGTACCCCAAATGTCCTATACGCCATAGATACGATCTAGGTGATCTTAATTTAATGATTATTATTGGGTAAATATTTTATGCCCTTTTGACATTAGTCATCAAACACCTTCTTCCAATTCGTCGTCATAGCTGTCGTAGTCGTCAGAGTCGTCGTCGTCAGAGTCGTCGTCGTCGTCGTCGTCGTCGTCGTCGTCCTCGTCGTCGTCGTCGTCGTCCTCCTCCTCGTCATGATCACCATCCTCAGATTCTTCGAGTGTAAGTAAGATTCCATTCGAAACAGCCAGTTCCCGTATCAAATCAGTGCATGCGCCGTGGCTATTTTCCTTCGCAAGCCGTATCGCTTCGCGGCATTGCTCCGCCGGGAAACCAACCCCGCCGCTCGCATTCCAGAGGAATTGAATCATGTCAAGTCGACCATATTCGGCTGCCGCTTCGATGGGCCACCGTCCACCACATAGGGACGGAGGAGCAGATATTTCTGCGAAGTAATCCAGCAATAGAGCGGCGATGTTGCAATTCCCGCTCATAGCTGCGTATTGTAACGCCGTTCCACCGTCGAAAGTTGCTGGTTCGTCGTTGGCGTCTGCACCCTTTTGAATAAGTAGTTTTACCATATCAAGGCTACCTTGCTCCGCAGCAGCTTGAATAGGTGTTCTTTTAATTCCTCGAGTAGCTTTTTTATTGACTTGGGCGCCGCGATCTATAAGGAATTGGACTAGGAGTTGATTCTTCGTCTCGATTGCCATCAAGAGTGGCGTTTTATGTCTACGAAACCCGCGCTTGTCTTCATCAAGGAATACGACCCCATTGATATCGCATCCTGCGTCAAGGAGTCGTTTGGTCAATGGGAAGCCTGGTGGACAACTCTCTGCTTCTGTCGCAATGGCTAATCCGAGAGGGGACCACCTGTTTTCTTCGGGCTCCCCATACGGAACTGTGGACTTAAAGTCAACGGCTCTGCAGTTAATGAATAAGTCTAAGACCTCGGTACTATTGGCGTTTGCTTCAATAGCACACATGAGAGCCCACGTTCCAAAGAAAGGGATCCAAATCTCCATTGATGAAGCATGCTGAAGCAAGATCTGTAGCATATCCATATGCGGGGTTGTGAATAAATCACATTCGATACCATCGTCGAATATATCCACTCCTAATTCGAGTAAACGACGAACCATCATACTGTTGCGCTGCTCAACTGCGATTGGTAGGCATTGAGTCAAGAACTCTCTACTGAGAATTCTAGACTGAGTAAAGAAATTAAGCATGTCCATATTCCCCGACTCCACATCTTTTCTAAGTAAATCGCATTCCCTAATGTTGTCTATCTTGAAGTCTGGGTAGGCAGAAATTAAGTCAGACAAAAGCGACTTATTGCCGTACGCTCGAATGAAAAGTTCCGAGATTGTTTCAGATGCGTCCCTACCCAAATGGCCGACTCCTGCATCGAGTAAGAATTGCACGATGTCATCTCGGTCATCTCTGCGCGCATGCTTTAATGCCGACACTATGTCGCAGTTTTTAAATTCGGGATAGAGGGCCAAGAGCTTCTTCATGTACTCGAAATCTCCTATACTAGCAGCAGCAGAAAGCGCGGCAGAAAACTCATGTCTACCTCCGTCGTCAAGGTGCTCTAAGGCGCCCCTAATTTCAAGCTCTCTCACTAGAGCAGAGTTTCCTGATTCTATTGCGCTAGATAGTGGTGTTTTCCCAGAATGATTCTCAGAAGTAGGATGCACGCTCGAGTTTTGAGTAAGAAGGAATGCGACAAGTTCGTCATGACCACTTTCGATTGCTGCAACGAGTACTGCAGCGGGATCATTCGCATATTGGAAATAGGACCGCATAAGTTGGATGTGGCCACGTTTGGCACCAGTGCAGAGTGCCATATTTATTTCCTTTGAGTAACGGCTTAAAAATTGTTTGCAGCCAGTCTTCTCGCAGTCGTCAAATAGTATCTTGGCGAATGCTTTTTTGGTCTCTTTATCCGTAAAAGATTGTGCGACTAAGCTTAAACCGTGTGATGGGTTATGGTAGTATGTTTTGGATATAAATTCGGAATGCTGCGCTGGTTTGAGCGCATATAAGAGCTTCTTAGCAAGGTCCATTTGAACAAACTTACGGAGCGCACTATTCACGAACCATACGTGCACTTCCGCCCCCGCCCGGATTAAGGCATCCACCGTATCGAGCCAGTCTTGGGAGAAAGCACTATGATAACGACCACTTTCAGGGATAAGTTCCTCTATCAAATATTTCAGGGGCCCCCTGCCGAAATGATTGGAGATTATTCGGTCTGCATCAGAAAATGTTCGGTTTGCATCAGCTTTGAATTGGAGCAACTCGTGAATTGCTCGTAGATGCTGAAGCTCAGCGAGGCGCTCAAGGGGCGTATACCTTTTGCCTTCAACGAAGCAGCATATTTTGTTGACGTCTAGTATGCCTGTTTTGAGGACGAGTCTGATTGCCATATAATCTCCAGATTCTATCCACGTACGAAATAGATTTTCCGCAAGAGCCTTTATAACGTGATTTGGCTTATCTTGGAATAGGCGTGGCAATAGCTTGGCAACGTTGCTATTCTGGTCAAGGAATTTAGGTACGACTTCGAGTGGTATGTCGTTCATACCAGTGAACCCATTCGCAGCCGAAAATAGAAGTACCCGACAAATTTCAACCTCGGGCCTTTGCTGTGAGAGGCTGGTCGCTTCATTATTTCCATAATCCGGCTGGTGGTTTGGAAGAAGTGTGTCCAAAGTTTGTAAGGTAAGTCTGGCACGGGCAGCGTTTGCGTTGAAAGACTTCCCATTGGCACTTGTCATAGCAGTGACGGCCTCGAAGAGAAACGTCATCGCCCGGTTCCCAGCCCCGGGTAGTAATCGGCAGTCGGGTGGAGAGTGCATAAGCTGAAGACTTTTCGACAATACGCCACGCTCAAATCGTTCAAAAGGCAAACCCTCTAAAAACATTGACCAAAGAGAAAATTGGGTCAACTCGAACTCCAAGGCTGGGCCCGCAATGTTAACGTCGGGCTCAAAGCGCATCGGCGACTGTGCAACTTGGCCTTGAAAACTTAAAGTCTGCGCAAATCTTTGATCTTCGACATTTATGAACTGATCGCAGGTAATGAGATTCATAGTATAAGACGATGATAGTCCCAGAAGCGTATTTGGAAGTGTCGGGGACTCGATGGCGTCGGGGTATGGGACAACTTGAGTAGAGCAGTTTTCGACTTGAACCTCCTGCTCAGCGGACTCCAGTATTTCATTGATACCCGACGGTTGTTGTTGGGAGGGAGTATCTCCACCAGCTACATCTGTATATGGAGTCCAGTTGCCGTCGAAGTCCTGAACTTCGATGGCAACCCCTCCGCCGACACTATTTATCGCCTGGTTCGAGCGCTCTTCAACCCGGCGTCGCTTCCGAGGATGGTGATCACCCTTGAAGTAGCGTTTGGCTCGATGGATTCTGTCTATTGGAACAGGGTGACCTGCCATCATCACTCTGGCTTGGATACCGCGAGAAGATAGACTGTCAATCTTTGGCAAGATCACTTCCCATTGGTCCTTCTTTATATTCTTACGAGCGTCCCAAACTCGTAGTTGAGCTTCGAATTGTGATATACTGTATGAACACGGTTAGATAGGATAGAAGAGCGATAAGAGTGCTAACCTTACGTAGCAACAAACCCATAGTCCTTTTCCATGGTCTGAACCAATTCATCCCCAGAGAGGTCAGAAGTAAGGTAAAGGCTCAGAATAGTCTCCTTGTGGAGCTCCCAATTCTCTGAGGGAATCTTACGTGCCTTACTAGCCATGTCTGCTGATATAGTATAGGCCGTACGACGATGAGCTACTATATCTCGAATCAGGGGTAGGATGTAAGATTCTTTCAATCAACGACAATAGTGACAAGTAACAACTGCTTAAAAATCACGTTGTTGTCACTAAGAGGAATAGCCAGATATATATGCTGATAATATTTGACCGCTGACACTGGCTAAGCAAACTGAGAGCCTGCCACCAATCAGAGACGTAAAAATGCGCCCGCCTTGATATTGCTGCAACTCCATGACACGTCATAATATGCCGTACCATAGACCTAGGGCTTCGTCTTTCAGATTCTGTCAACCAGGTTTCATCAGTCAGGTTTCGTCACTGCAACTCAGGAGTAGGTAATACATTAGGAGGTAGGCAAGTAGGGTGGTGTTGCCGCGTGTCTCTCTCCTTTCCAATCATACCAACCATATCTTATATATCAACAGCAGGCTCTGATAATGTCCAGCTTCCTACCGCGATGGCACGCTGTCTCTTCATATTACTTACGCCAATTGGCTTATAAAATAATTGAAGTGTGATAAGGCACGAAGGAATAGCCACGTCCCGTTTCGCTTCGTCTTGAAATTGAATATGTCCGAGGCTATGGGGGTTTGCATGTCGCCTTTTTTTTGCCCAAGTATCCATGGATTGAGGTTGTACAATGGCCCAAAGCCTGACCGCGTCAGATTAACCAAGCCATACCTCCCACCAATTAAGACACATATTGTCAGATGCAATACCTAGGCAAGTATTTGATAAGCTGTTACATGGAATGTAGGAGGAAAAGAGAAGCGAGGGGGGAAGACAATATAATCAAACATAGGAAATTGAATTATAATAGAAGGGGTGACTGACCTTACTACCTTTTATATGACATGGAAGAGTCTCGACATGGAAATGAGGTCGAGGAAGCTTCTCATAAAAAGTTAGGTATTACAACATAAGTGTCAGATTAGTCAGCCCCGTCAGGTGACCCGAAATCCCTAATTTCCCTGTAACTAGGTACCTAACCTAGTCTGTTAGTGTTTCACTCTTTCTCACGATCTTACAACATTCAATCAGATCATCAGTAATTACCTACATCAACATTGCCTCAAAAATCGCCCTAATAGTACGTATCGGCTGTGTGACAATAAGTAAGTTAATATAGGTACCTACCTACCTAGTCACGAATATAATTTAGCCGGTCCTTTAACCGCGAACCAACTTTGATAAATGAGCCGCATAATATCAAGCTGTCAAGGCCACATTGAAGGTCTTAGCACATCACCTATGAATACCAAGTTTTCATTGGCAATATGCCTAGCTAGTCGTCAGATTAGAGTACTAGAGTGAGACGAGAAAACATAATATGTAATTCTTCTTCGACATTCGCGCGCTATGCCGCCCTACCGTAGAGCTATCGCGGCCGTTTGCGTTTTTGCCCCTCTTCTCTACATATACTGGCGGACATTCCTGGTTCCTGACACGTCGAAGAGCTTTAGAAGTTGGAACCTGGACGAAAAAGAAGATGTGTTTGATGATACGTTAGGTGTAAGATCTCATCCCCCCCTTATACCTCTCCTGTGTGCATTGGGATTAGATCTAATGAAGCCTAAAGTTCTCAAAAATCTTCGTTATCAACCTGCCGTCGCGGAAAGATCGTCGAGATGCTATGGATTTAGCAGGTGCCGCCAGCAATCTCACATTCACATGGATTGACGGCATACCGGGCGGCCAGGTGTCAGACCGTGATGTGCCTGTTCGTAGAGGAATACATTCGTCATCGGGGGCGAAAGGGTCCTGGAGGTCGCATATGAATGCGCTTCAATCAATTATAAGTGAGAACCTAACAAGTGCGCTCATTTTAGAGGACGATATAGACTGGGATGTACGCCTAAAGTTGCAACTTCAGACTTTCGCATTGGCCTCGAGGACCTGGTTAAAAGAGTCCAAGTCTGATAATCACCGAACCGTACAACTGTCCCCGGAAGCTGGCACGGATAGTAAAATTCACCAAACCACATACGGGGATGACTGGGATATTTTGTGGCTGGGCCACTGCGGTGCAGAGTTCCCCGACAGCCAATCTCTCATATCGCCTCTGAGAATCGAAATCCCAGGAGACGAGACGGTCCCAGCTCCAAAGCATCTCAAGCCTCATCCATTTGCCCTGAACGACAAACTCGGCGAACTATACCCGCCGCATACTCGCGTCGTCCACGCGTCCAGCGGGAACGTCTGCACCCTAGCCTATGCCGTCAGCCGCCAGGGAGCCCGCAAGCTTTTATCGCAGTTCGACGACCACTACGATACCCAATGGGACTTGATGTTGCAGAAATGGTGCGAGGGGAAGTATGCTGTCGAGAACAAGTCTCGTCTGAATCCAAGGATACAAGATGATAGCGGGGTTGCTCATGAGCGTGGAGGATCCGCTCCCGTTTGCCTCACGGTACAGCCGCCCCTATTCAGCCATCATTATGCGAAAGGCGGCGCTTCTAATATCCAAGGCCAAGGCGGTGGCTACGCGAAGGGAACGGGCACGCCATATATAAGACTAAGCGTACGGCAGAACATCGACCGCTTAGTTGCTGGCGCGCGGGAGGATGAGATGGTGGACCAACTACCCGATGACGGGGACACTATATGGAAATAGATGGGAGTTTATGAAGTTAATATACCTAGGCTCTTTATATGTTTAGTTTAGGTCTACTAGAGATACCACCCCTCTAATCGCCCCTTGACACTCCACCAAACAATAACACTCCCTTAAAAGATAGGGAACGAAAGCAAAAAGCAAAAAGGAACAACTCCAGAAGAGAGAGCCTAGCTTATATCTCATGAAATATGCCCACACCTGGAATCGAACCAGGGATCTCCGCATTACTAGTGCGACGCAGTACCATTGTGCCATGCGGGCGTTCGTTTTCTCGAGCCGCTGTCGAACACGTTTATATTTAAGACCTTAATTTACCCTCATTCTGGCATCAACTATGATAGTGGCAGAAGTGGAAACAAACACTACGCTTTCCTTGCCTTGGTATGGTAAGCGCGTGCGAATTCTTACCATTGGCCAATTAGCGAGTTCTACCATTTGAGCCTCTCGAGTCTCCGCGGGTCTAGAAAGGGCTGGCCAATAAGGTGGGTTTAGTCGTTGGATGGTGCATATTATAAATCTAGGATATGCTTGTTTCCTCACGAGCCAGCTAGAGATTATTATAAATAGTCTCTATTGAAAATACTACCCTTAGGGGTCCAGTAAAGTTCTATGTAGTTCGAATATCCCAAGCAAGTTGAGCAAATAGGAAATACCATTGGCTTCCTCTCGTCACGCACGAAAGCGAGTATCATTTTATGAAATAGCCAGGAAACCCTATATAAGATAGGGCCATCCCGGAAGTCAAGAGCCATCTTGTTGCGATCCGTAATCAGTCCCGAACTATTCCGCCCCAGATAAAAGTCTCAGCCCTCCAAAGTAAACAACTATCACAGGTACATAAGAGACACTTCACATAAACCACAGCAAAGGAACTAATAAATATCTCTCATGACTTATGTATGTGTCGTATCTATTCGGCATCATGCTCCAGGGTCGAATTATGCGAATACGAGCCCCTCATTCTATCTATCATGCCATTCCCCTATCCGTCTATATGAAACGCCTGTACGGGACACGTCAATGCGTCGTCGATTATAATGCCAATTTCCCAAACAACGCAAAACTCTATCAAAAGCCCTCGTTTACGGGGGTCCAAGTTCTTGAATATGAATGAAAGTCACCAGCCTCTAGACCGACGTGCGTAAAAGAATTCATCAAAGGTACCATCTTAAGAAGAGATGGCCGCCCCTTACTCCTCATCATCCGTATCAGCTGGGTGTGGTGTACCCTTGGGACTGTTGAGCCACTCGATATGGCGTAGTCTCCTTCGCACTTCCTGCTCCTTGAGCTCCTTCTTAGTCTTCTTCCTCTTCTTCTTAGCCTTGAACTTCAATGGGCTATTATCCTCAGTACCGCTGTTGACGGCGCTGCTTACTGCACTGCTAGCTGCTGTGCTGTTAACCCCGCTGGTAATACCGCTTGCAAGACCGCTGCTTGGCCTACTGTCTTCAAAGCGATCCGTGGCAATCGAGGCGTTACCCTTCAAGACCATACGTCCGTCATTTATGTGCCACTGTTCATTAGCCAGAGCACCGACGAACTCTTCGTTGTGAGAGATCATGACCACACCGCCCTTGAAGTCTCGGATGGCTACCGCAAGACCACCAAGAGAATCGCGATCCAAAAAGTTAGTAGGTTCGTCAAGAACGAGCAAATGAGGGTTGTTCCACATCGCACCGGCGATAACGACCTTAACTTTCTGACCTCCAGACAAGCTACCAATTTCGTTGTGGTTGGCAATCTCAGGGTCGAGACCGAGGTCCTCAAAATGCTTAGAGATGACCGTAGGTTGAAGCTCTCGGTAACCTAAACCTTCACGAGACGCCTCGTGATCATCGAACTCTTGTACAAGCTTATCAAAGCCCCATTCTGAGAGGGTTTCCCGAGAGACTTGCGAGTTGAATTTTGGTAGCCATGTTCTCCATTTCCTGTAAATTGTTAGTGGCTGTCTTTAAGAGTAGAACAATAACGGTAAACTTACACCTCGTATTGAAATGTTTTCTTGTACTTCTGACGACCGACAAGAGCTTCAATCTGTCGCTCGCCCTTTCCATCGCCGAGGTCAATTCGCTTATCCATCTGTTCTCGGTCCTTATCTGAAAGAATACGGGTCTGCTTCAGGAACACCTCTCTGTCGTCTCCGTTTGCGTAACGCCATTGCAAGTATTGATTCGGCGTCTTCTCGAGATGCATCTCAACGTGTTCGAGAGCATGCTGCTTAATGTAACCAATTCGTAGGTTAGGGTGCTTCTCAACTTTTCCGCTGGTCGGAACCACCTCACCCGTCAACAGCTTGATCAGGGTTGACTTTCCAGCACCGTTCGGTCCGATCACAGCAACACGGGAAGAAAGAGACAGCTGGCACGAGACATCTGTGAGCGATGGTTTGGGCGCTTTAGGGTATTGGAAAGAAACCCCAGTCATTCGGATGATCGCCCGCGTCTGAGACTTGACGCCTGACAAGATACCCGGAGGAGGAAACTTGAACTGAACATTGGAGGCGGAAAGAGTATAGTAAGCCTTGGCTTCGGGGCGAATCTTTACGAAGTCGGAGAGGTTGCCTTTGAAATGACCAAGCTTCTTCCCAGGTTCATAGTGGTAGATGTCAGTTGTTACGTTGTCCAAGAAACTAGAATCGTGGGAAACGATCAAGCTAGTGATGTCTGTGTGGCTCTTAAGGTAGCTTTCCAACCAAGCAATGTTGGCAACGTCGAGATGATTGGTAGGTTCGTCAAGTAATAGAACATCAGCTTTTTGCAACATTGCTCGAGCAAGAGCGAGCTTCATCTTCCACCCTCCTGACAGAGAGCCAACCTTTTGAGATTGTCTACCCTCAGGGCCTGCCGTAAAGCCGAATTCAGCTAAGACTTCGGAAATTCGCTCTCTGCCCTCAGATGCGATTGTTGGATCTTTGACCATGAAATCCAGAATGCTAATATCGGCATCTTCACCTTGGTTGTGCTCGACGTAGCAGGTACGAAGGACATCCTGAGGTGGGAAGCCTTCCAGCTTGCCACCAGCAATACTCTTCATCAGTGTAGACTTTCCGGCACCGTTGCGACCACAAAGACCATATCGGTGTCCCTTCAATAATCGAAGATTGGTGTGGGAAAGAAGAAGCATGCCACCGTAGGCCAGGGAGAAGTCTGCATTAACAATCTCAGTCTCGCCATCGTCCTCCTTCTCCGGGACGCCGTACTTGCGGTAGTCCTCGGCAACGTAGAACTCATAGACGCCGGAAGCGACAATGTCGTTGGCACCCTCTTTATGCATTATATCTTTAAGATAGGGCGCGATTCTAGCCGGGATTCGATCAACTTGACGATGATTAGCATCCTCGGCCACCATCTTGCAGATATAAGGACGAGCTAGTTTATAAAACTCTAGGTCACCCGAGAGTCCCCCGTTCTTCTTGATCTCGGAGTCCAGAACCTTAGCGACGTCATCTGCAGAAGTCCTCTCCACCACAGCTTCATCGTTGCCCATAGCTTTATCCATGACATCCAAAGCCCTGGTAGCCAGCTCGCGCACCTCTGGTAGCGGCGCACGACCAACCACACTTTTGACACCTGGCTGAAGCTTTGGTAAAAATGTACGTGCCTCGATAGGATCATGGACTAGCTTGGTCAAGTTTTCAGTGATCACGACAGTTTGTCGTAGTACCTCTTGAGCGGTGGTGGGATTGTTAAGGGTTCGCTCAAGGAAGGGAGTAAGCAAAGCAAGAACAGGCGATGTCACGACAGCGACGAAGGTCGTCTGCGAGAGAGCGTGGATGGCCTTCTGAAGGGTCTGGGTCGAAGGGTGGTGCATAGTGTCGACAAGAAGGGGAATCCTAGGAGCGACATCGTCGTTAGATAGGAGGGTGGTGAGGGATTGCATCGTAATGAGTGCTTGCTTCTCGACTTCGGATTTGAGGTCGTGCATGTTGCCCTCAACTATGGGGATCAAGCTAGCCAGCTTTTCGCCCATAGCCTCTCTGAGGGTATCCTTCTCTTGAGCTTGTTCTTTCGTGCAACCAATTTCCATCTTTGCTTTATCGGCCATCCTCTGCATCAGCTTCAAGGCGCCAACTGTACCCTGCCACTTTCCAGTCTTCTTTGACAGGTAAGTTACAAGCGCGGGTAACAAGCCAACAACCATAGCCTCAGCACTTAAATGACCAAAGAGCGCATCAAGTCCGTATTGCGCAGCATCGCGGACAACTGTGCCCTTGTCGGCTAAAGCGTCTAGAGCAACCGAGACGAGACCACCATCCTGAATTAAGAACACAACTTCACTCAGCGGCTGCCGAGGTGGGAACTTCTCAAAGAGGGCGCCGAGAAGGTTCTGGGCACCCTCTCGTCGTAATCCACTCTTCTTATCAGATGCGGCTTTCTTGACTTCTGCCAATACACCGTAATCATGTAGACCCCGAAAGCCTACAGTGTTCAACAGGAGTTCGCATAGTCCATAAGAGGCGTCGACCGAAGAAGCGGAGGTTTTGGCGGTAAATATAGTGTCGAGAATTGATGAGACATCTTGTTGCGACGGCGGAGGAGGGGCGCCCGCCTTAGAAATCATAATCGGCGGCGACACTTGGTGAGGCATCGTGAGCGCTCGTTCTTAACGAATTGGGCAGAAAGAAAAAGGAAAACACCCAACTTGTTGAAAAACGATGAGGCAAACGGCGCCGCAATTTTAATAAAGGGTCAGCTGAACTGCCCGAAATGCCCTCGATCGTGGGCGCTGAAAACCTTGTCGGTGAGCCAGCGTCTTACTTTTTTGATGTGTGGAGTTAAAAGAAGACGGGATGGGAATTTTGAAAAAATGTTGGCCTTATCGACTTTGATGTTACCCCTCGAAAAGTTTTCTCCCTTTATCTAGGTACAGGGGTATGAAGGGTCTATGCACCGAAAATAGAATGGGTCCTCTCGGTACGTACCTTCTTATCTTCGGCGCACGTTTTCTTGCTGCCGTCTTCTTGTGGAGCCAATCTAGATCTATCCCCAGGCTTCACGCTACAAGCAGCCGTCTTAGGACAAAAGGTCACTGACGAAGAGCCTAGCAAAGAAATTTTCAAGGTCTAAACTTTCGCCCATCTAGCGTCCATATCCAACCAATCACAACAGCGTACCTTGCTCATAACATCAGAAGGTAACTTTAAGTTTGTTGTGAGCCCTACGGGCGGAGTTTCAATAACGTGTAACCGGAGCGGCCGTAATATCGAATACAATGCAAGAAGCATTAGTAGTCCTTAAATACATAGCGTAACAACCCACAAATAGAAGTATCCCGAGGATAGCCTCGAAGTTTATGCCACCAGCCAACACTTGAGATTGGAGTATACTACTACCTACATACTCGTCATGATATTAAACCCAGGTATTGCTCTCCGACTCAAAATTCCCCTCATCTGATAATACTCATTTCCTTCCGTAATTTTACTTGAAGTATTTCTCCAAGGTCTATCAGCCAAATCAACGTACGTATCAGTGGTATTTATAAAAAAATAAAAATAAAATGATATTGCGAGACAGTAAACTTTAAACTAATAAACTCATCAATCAATTCTTATTAAATCTACCAAGATCTTCCAGCGTTGATCGAAGTACAGAGCAAATCACAGCAGGTAGTAGTTCAATACCTTTCTAATATTTATATAAACCTACCAAAGTCCGATCAAAATTTAAGCATTATCAAATCCCCAGTGCAGCGAAGCTAAAGCTAAAGGAGACGTTTTGGGAACTTGCTCCAGTCGCTTTCGTACAAGACTCTATTTCGGGTTAATAAAGAATATAAAATTTCTTTTATTACTTGTATAGCTTTCTTACCTTTTCGTTTGAAAACAAAGAGATGCTTGGTTGTTGCATCATATTAGCTTGCAGCTTCGACTCACCAGGAGCTACTCAACTGCAAGCAATTTCATAGCAAGGAAGCCCCGTTTAAATGTCATCGCTATTAAATCATTAGATACCTAAGATAGAAAATCTAGGATCGAATAAAGAATTTAGTCAGGTCTACCAAGGATGCTCTCGGTATTAAATTCAGATATGATACCTCCCTTAATGATAGGGTATGTACCACTTCGTGATGCCCTCGTCCCTCTAGTTACATTGGTGAACGAGAAAAAATAAAACTGTACGAAAGAGATGTGGTCTCGGTATTGGGCATCTCGTGATTCGGAAACTGTGGCATTTTACATAGAAAGAGCAAGATGATTCGTAATAGGCACGAATATCACATATGTATGGCGGTATGGTGCGTTAGTCGCGATCTGACGTCCAGCATCGACAGGATATTGGCTCCCCTATGTATGCAGCGCACGGACGATATTGGGCACATGGTCTTCGAGACTCGACGAAAGAAGATATGTCGCCCGCACGAGTGTAACAGTTTCGGAGATAAGGTCTGATATTATGTATTTCATCGAGACAGCGAGCTCCTACGTCAGCACGCCAATACTCATTGTGATAGTGTGGCGGACTATCCATTGGGAAGACAAGGTGGTGAATAAATTCTCTCACGTGAGTTGCTTCCCGGAGGTACAATATCAATGTGTTCGAGGCGCGGACCGGAATGCGACATTGATGTCAATATCCAAAGTTGTGGCTAGAAGATCCGGTAGCATTGAAACACCTGTTAGGAATAGAGAGGGCGTGTTCTAAATTTTTGTGCTTCACAATAGTTGTCTAGATTGGATCAGTCGGTCCGTCTTCACCGTAAATATTAGCGAAGAGACGTAAATGATTTGTCGCTCACCCCTAAGGTAGGATGTTACTAGCAGAAGTTAAAGCAGCTGACCAAAATTATCGTGAGATAAGCTAGGAGAAGCGAAGGGCATAGTAGAAGGCGATTGCTCTATGAGGAAATCTGGGTTGCAGTAAAGGGAAATATCACGAGAGTTGTAGGTCCACACCAAGAGAGCCAAGACATTCAGAATTTCCAAATTGGGACAATGAGACAACCCTGAGCTAGGGCCGGGAATGATGCACATTTCGGCCGCTAACAAGGTCGTTGACATTAGACCTACGGGATTTCGGTATGTGTATGTATGTATTGTCAAGGTAGCGAAGGAAGATCATGCTGTTACCTGGAATTCGGAACTGTCATCAGACGAACTTGCATACGGAGCTTTGCCACCCTGAGCTACATAACTCGGAGAAGATCATTCACGATGCGGGTCCCCCTAATACGTCTAACATTAATCTTCAATTTATTATACATCATGTAGTACGTAGTCATCTTGTCTATCTACCTATATAGTAAGGGTAGCTATATACATACCCCTACTTTGTATGACTTATCCTTTTCGAAGTCGTCGCCGTCATGAGTCCAGACAGGCTCTAGGAGCTTTTATGACTCTATCGGCCTCCCTAGGCTTGAAGAGGGATGGCCGCGGAGCAGCAACCCTCAAGATGATAACCGGGTCGATTCAAGCACTTCGCTAAACTCCACCCTGGACGTGATGCAAGGATGTCAGAGCGGGATTTGCCGGAGGATGTAACTTGGATGGGTAAACTGGGGAAGACGGAAAATTAAATAAACTAGCTTCAGGGGTTCGTGGTCCATCAGTCCATCCCGGCGCTTGATATTCAATGGAGCTTACTGTTTGTAGCCCCGGCTGTAACTTGTTGATAGTTATTGACCAAGCAAAAGACAGGGTAGCTACGTAGAGCCGATGCGCTCACATATACCTGTTAGAAACTGGTGATAATGGCTTCTAAAAAGCTACAAAACCCCCAAGGCTCGCACAAAATGTCCGAGCCAAATCACTCCTTCGCTGTAGGCTTTCTTCTCAGAAAGTTCTAATTTCAATAGTGTGTGGAATCGGAGTACACCATCTTCTATATAAGATAGTCGAACTATGTCCAATCTTTGAGATGAAGACAACGCTTACGAATATAATAGCAACATCGACACTGTCTACTTCCTTAAGCATCAAGTTACACTAATACTCATACTACATATAAACAGCATTGAACCCACTACATGTTGCTTGAGGCGCAATGGCACCTGACTCTACTGGTAATACGGGATTTCAGTTCATCACCTCTATCAGCACCGTAGAGCGGGACGAGGAGACACGCCGAAAGGTGCGCTCGCATGCCAGACGGCAGAAGCTCCCCCATGGTTCCAACCATCCATCCCAGCCGAAGAAACCAGGATCCGCAAAAGACCATACTTCGAAGTTTAGACTTAAACCCAAAGGCTCGTCCAACAACCAGGATGACGTCCCAAGACACGAGAGGAAGCTTAAGAAGACCAATTGGCTTGCTGTTAGTGTCGCAAAGGAGCTTCCGAACTTCACGCTGTTCCACATAGAGAAGACGCCTTTGACGGAGAGCTTGATGAAGTATTGTATGGCTGTGTGCTTGTCGCCACAGGAGACAGCCGTGGAGAAATGGTTCGACCGGGCTGGGGTACCGACATACTTGAACACATGTAAGTTGAAACTTCCTCATTAATCAAAGGCAAAAGGAGATTGTTGACCAACTATAGATTATTCCGGATTCCTCGCAAATGCCTTCGCCATGAACCCAGAAGGAACTTGGGTGCAAGCGGTTCAGCCACCTAATTCCCATCATATATGTAACTGGACGCTGATATGTAATAGCTTCAACTTGACAAGGCCGCCACACATGCCTTCATTGCCATGATCGCAGCTATGCACAACTCACTTGCGAGGTGGGCCGACACGAGTACCATCGACTTCCATCGGTTCCAAGCAGTCAAGTCCATCAACGAGAGGCTGAATCTAGAAGGCAAGGACGATAGCAAGCCAATCTCAGATGGTCTTGTCGTCGCTGTCTCTCTTCTGGTCAATATCGAAGTAAGTTCTCAATAGGAAGTACCTTGAGAAAGCCATTCGTTCAAGTAACTGACCCTATGCAGACTTTCATCGGTTCGCTCAGTGCTGCCGCGGCTCATATGAGTGGCTTAAAGAGAATGGTTGACCTCAGAGGTGGAATTGTCGACGGTTTCAAGCACAGCAGTATACTTCAACGATCCATATCATGGTAAGCAGGGTTTATTGCTACTACATAGTCTCTCGACTCCAGGTTACATACTAACTACTGTAGGGCTGACTATTCCTATGCCACGGCCGCGCACAAGCCGGTCGCCTTCCCCTTTATTCCACAGCTGGCATCCTCCCTAGCTCTCCATGATCGTTTCACAAGCCGCTCGATGTTAGCGAACATGGAACCGCTTGGGTTCAAGGACCTAACCATCCAGAGTCGCGAAGCGGTCGAGCTTTTCGAACTGTTATATTCGATCACCGAATGCATTAATAACTTCGACTACGCAAGTCTCGAGAGCACATTTGGCCAGAGGATCCAGGTCAGCGACTCGATCTACATGATTGAGTGGCGGCTTTGTCATCTGGAACATGCTGCTCGGGGTCGCAAATCTTGGAAGAGAGCCGGTTCCGTTCCATTGTTACCATCGGTCGACGTCGATACACAGCTACGGTTCCCCTCACCGACTGATTTGTCCGACGTTTTGATATACGCTGCACATCTGTTTCTGCACCTTGCCATTCGAGGCCAACCTCCTTCCGCTCAGAGGCATCGCGCACTGGCAGAAGCACTCATGTCGTCTCTATGCGACCCTGTGTTAGCCTTGGACCTTCTATCTGAGCCGAAGGTATACGAAAGTGGCGAGTCACAGCTGACCAGAAGCAACGCGGAACAATCCACTACGGCAAACTTATCTGCCTATGTCCCAACGTCAGAGATATCGCACACGGGCATGTCGAGGCTCTCTGGAGACGAGCTTCATGCTAACATTCTCCTTTGGGCCCTATTCATAGGGTCATGCATCCGCATCCCAGTTGTAGTAAACGAATACTCGGTCCTAGGCGGTGACCAACACAACTTCTTCATCACTGCGCTGAAGAACTACTGCCGGACGAGGAACATCCTAGATAAAGAGATGCTTCTCGCGAAACTGAAGGATGTCATATGGCTTTACAGCTGGTGCGAACACCAGCTAGGACTTGTCTGGGGAGAGATTGCCGACGGCCTCAGACCATACGTGACGGCGGGGGACCAAGTGAATGTCCCCATGGGTCGTGATCAACAGGAGTAACGACAGTAAACTCATATTACCGGGAATCATAGTAATGTCTAATCTAATAAGTAATCATTAGCTGACTCACAAGATATAAACGCTGGCAGCACAATCTTTAGTCATCTACTAATATTGAATAAACTCACCTTAATACAATGCTATGTTACTACACATAGTCCTTATTCTTTTTGTACTTAAACTAGAACGTTAGGCAGAGACCACGAATAATCTAACACAGCTTCATTGTAAGTCATCCTCTATAAAAGGAGCTTGCCCACCAACACCATCTAGTCTTCGGACCACGACTTCATCATCGGATACCTTAAGTACCTAGTAGCTTATAAAGATGTCAATAAGCATAGGAAAGCCAGCCCAGCCGGACCGTTCCGCATCGTCTAGCCCCGAACCCCTGTATCAAGATCCAGATCGATATAGACGATCAGGTGCTCCATCCCCAGAGCCATGTCCACACCCACCATGCCCACTGGGTGACCAGATGCAAAAGATAAACCTGCGGAAGGACCACGATGTTGGCTCTAAGAAGGATGGGGCGGAACAGAAGCGGTGAGATGATACCAGCGTTAATGGTATTTATCACAGGCACATGTCTAGATGGTGCCAGAGTTATATAGCACTACACTAAGACCTGCGGGCAGGGGATTGAGCGGAAGCATCCTAAAAAGCAAGAAAGTATGTTATTGACTCTCTGAGTGTCATAGTACGCCCTCATGGTGTAAAGCCAAAGTTTGGTGTGCTGAAGCTTGTTGTATTCAAGCGGGACTTTGGATATATTTATTCATTCGCTAGTAGCCAATAGGAGGTGTGAATTGGGCGAGCAGTGTAGTAGGCGAGTGCAAGCCATATTAATAGAAATCGATATGATCCACCTATACTATTTCCAACAAAGACTTTGTTAGAATAGGGCCGTGAAAGACTTAGTAAGTAGTACTGTTAAAGATGCCTCTAGATTGGCATAAACATCATCTAGAAACAAGCGCATTTGAAGAGTATAAGGTTATTTAGATTCCCCATATTTGATGTCGACCGCTAGATTCTTCAATTCCCCTAGTGACATCTCTTCTCGTATTGTTTCTTTTAAGAAAGCCTGTTACCGGCTACGAATTTCGCCGGCTTCGGTTTACAGGCGGCGGACTTCGCGGAAAGCAGATAGTCGGCCGAAGACGAGGAGCAGCCCTTGAAATAATATAATGCTTGTTGTGCCGCTAACTAAAGACGTTGCCCTATAATCTCGATCTATTTTCATTTTAGGGGCTTGCGGTCGGCGTAATAATTGGCTTCCTGCGGCCTGACTTTCATCCGACATGTAATAATCCTACGGCCTATTTGGTATCCCCATATCCGGAATTGTATAATACTCCGAAGATAGTTGGACGGCATAGTGGAGTTTTCAGCTGCAAAGGCACTATGTTCGTCGAAGATGTCCTTCACGATTGAATTGCGATGTGTTGACCATTCTCGATGAATTCTTCGCTGGGTAATCGGTTGGCGGATAACACCAACCTAATATGGCGAACCCAGGACAATCACCACCGACGTCTGATCTGACTGAAGCTTCGGACTGGGACACGGCACTGGTCATAACTGATGAATGGATGAAGAAAATCGTTCCGGAGAGGCGGCACAGCGGATGGGAGGCAGTAGAAAGACAATGGATCGGAAATAAGCAATCGCAGCAGCCATCGGATTCAAGGCCATCCAGGTATACATCCGAATGGCCATTCTTTACTATAGTATCTAACAGGGTCTTATAAGGGAACTTACAAGGAAAGAGTATGAAGCTATGGAACGGTTCCCATATCCGCAGAGGGCCCTTCCAACTCCACAACTGGAATTTGACTTTCGAATGAGAGTTATTCTGAGTTCCCGGTCTGCTTCAGTTGCCGTAAATGATGGCTTTAAGAAATGGTCTACATTCTCCGACGGTAGCTGGTCGGGCCGTTTTGGGTACGGTCTTGTTGTCGTAAGTTATCTAAACTAATCGTGGTATACGTTGCTATGAAATATTGACTTGAAATAGAATGGAGGACAAGAGAGTCAAGACATGATCCATGGAAAGACAGCGGCAACTTGGGTGGAAGGTATGCATCGGCTACAGACCGGGGACGAAGCACCAGCATAGTGAGTATGTCGACATAGGCGAGAATGTAGAGACTGATCTATGTAATAGCATCGAATGTAAAACGAGAGGAAACATGACCGGACCTTCAGAGCTAGTGAAGGCGCTTCAAGACCCAGAGGCATCAGCATCGGTAGACCCAAGATCGTGTCTATTCAGGGTGTTTGTCACCATGAAGACTACGGATGAGCGGTATGCAGAGAAACTAAACGCTGGGATGTGGGTCGGAAGTTGCCTTTGGAAAGGCTTAGAAGTCATATATGAGTACGTCTGCCAACTTTACCGTCGCTAGAGATCCAGCTAACAATTGCCAACTCATAGCGCATACCGAGTGAGTTAGCGGATACTCATATGTGGTAGTTAAATGATCATCACTAGGGATGAAGAAAGCTACCTAGGTACCGACATGGTCAATTTGGTGGTCTCAAACCGGCAGCGCTCAAGATCCGGATTTCACCTTAGAATTGCATTGAAATTCGTCCAAGTTTATTTTGGCATTTGCTAAACACCAGGGTTTTATCATGCAATGCGATCGAGATTCAGGTCTCTCATGCAAGATGAGGTAAACATTTGACCTTTGCCAAGGCTCTGTCGGACATTTTGATCCCACCAGGTCGGGACCAATTGTGGGTGTAGTCTAGACCTTGGGATTCCATGATGGCATTTACGCGATAACAAACGGATATCAAAAATTACCCCGGATAGTCACTTAAGTCTAGGTATCTAAGTTGGTCCCTGCATTTCCTAGAATTTCAGGGTCTTGTAGTAACCCACTTTCGTCACAGCTCTTATTTGATTGGTTAACCTTTTTAACATATCGTTTGATTGGCTACACGTCTCATTCCGTACGTCATATTAGTGATCTACTATCTTGTACATCATCGTCGACAGTAGTAGAAACAGGTTTGCATCACGGTCATCGAGATGAGACGCATAAGTTGTCGAACTGTTCAAATAGGGCCATATCCGCCGGTGGGTTTCTATACATTTTTATAATTGTTTTCACATATTATTGATCTAAAATAAATCTATCTATACAGTGTAGTATCCAGCCTTTTCTACTATAATTACCATATACTCTTAACCAACTTATAGACTTATAACTCGATTAAAATATTCTCAAAATGCCTCTATTTTCTAGCCGCAGGCCTGAGGAAGAAGTTGTGGAGGAGCCTCTCCCCGAGAAGACCGAGAAGAGACACTCACACGGTCTCTTCGGTTCCCGTCACCGGTCACCTTCTCCTGCCACCACTCGTAGTAGCACGACCAATAGCTCAAGGAACTCAGGTATGGTTTATTAATATGCCGTACACTTATCAAAGCAAGATAATCTGACTAAATTATCTATCTAGACGTTTCATCCCCTTCACGCCACCGAAGCGTGCTACAACGTACCTTCGGACATGGTAACACTACCAACCCGGACATCGACCCATCAATTGTCCAGGCCCGCGAGCGTGTCATGCAGGCCGAGACGGCTGAGCGGGATGCCGATAGAGCTTTAGAGTCCGCCCGCATCCGTGTTCGCGAAGCTAGGGCCGATGTTAAGAGACTTGAGCTAGAGGCTGCCGAGGAAGCCCGACGGGCAAAGATCAAGCAGTACCACGCCCGCGAAGTCTCGAAGCGGGGCAAGCAACTTGGCCGTATGTTTCCTATTTGATAGCTTGTTTTAAGTGTTATTGTTACTAAGTCACTAACATTAATCAGGTCATGATGTTTGAGCTATGACTCGAGCATTGTAAAGAAGAATATATGACGAATGCTATGTTGGAATTAAGAGCTTGGTTGTTAAAATGATACCTATTTCTTATCTGTATTAGTATCACGAAGTAAGCGTCTTCGTGGCGCTGAATGTCTGATGAATGTATTGTATTACGAAGTACGAGCAGCCGATTATAATCGAATACATTAATCCTCATTTCAATTTGAACTATTTGTTCAATTAGCTTAACAGTGTTATTGATGCATACCATTAAACATCTAAGTAGCCGGGATGATTTGCATACCAGTGCCAGTAAAGGAATTCTTGTAGAGCAAATGGGCCTACATTACTCCCTGTATGCTTAAGATCACCAAAATTGAAGTAATATTTATTATCACATTCCTAGTACCGATTTAGACCTAGCAATTCCTTATATCCTTTCATTCTAAGTATTGTTGTGTGTGTTGTGTGTGTTGTGTGTTTTATGTCTTGGATTTGACATTTTCTTCCAAGACAGTCATTGTTTTAATGACGTCAACCTCCATTATGTGATAAGATTCATGCTTATCATACGAACACTCACTCAAAAGACTAGCAACATGGTGGTCTTACAATATGCATATTTTCCAAGCACTATTCATTTTTGGCTATTTCATCAACTCAGAACTATGTACCTAAGGTACCTAAGGCAACCCTTCTAAGAATAAACATAAGAATAGAAACTAGGAGTTTAATTGCGGATTACTATATGTAGATTACTAAGTGGAGATTTGTTAGAAGACGTAGCGTATTTCTAAATAAGGCCATGAAAAAAAAGAATTCTTAGTAAAAAAAAATAGCCGCTAAGTTCAAGACTATGTGATAGTCAAATAAGATAATAGGTAGCGATTTAGACATGTTAAAATGTGTTATAGAAATCATGTTGGATTCAATTGACAGATGGTTATTGCGAAACATGAAATCGCTCCTGCCGGTGCTACCGTTGCTAAGCCACATCCAGTCGTAACGGGCCACGACGCTAATGATAAAGAATGAGGTGTACTTCGTAGATATGCACTTACAAGGACATTTTATCGGACATCTGCATCAAATCCGCAGAGTCGGAGCCAATGCCAAGAAACGATAAATCGAAAAAGGGGGGTGGGGGTGTAAGTAAGTAAGAGGCAGGCTTGAAACCGGAAGAGCCAAGACATTACCTAAATCACAAGCATCCAGGAACCATTGTTTCTATCTTTTTTTCTTTATCGTAAAACTTTCGAAGCTCTCGAAAGTGGCCTTGAGCCGCAATTCATCCCATCTACCTACATCAGCCTACACCCTACGAACAAGCTTAAAAATCTATGAGATAGCTTAACTAGCTACATGCATCCCTTTCCCCCTCAGGGTTTCTCATGATACCTCCGAACCTGGTCAATTGCTCTTCCGAAATTCGCTGCATGCCTCTCCAAATCGTGTCATTCTTCAGCTGGCTCCTGTAGTCTGCGACCCCTGACGCGAACGAGTTTCTAGCAAGTCGATATGGCAAATCGCAAAATGCTCTCCTTTAAGAGAGCTATTATCTTCGCAGCATTCTTCCTAGTAGCATTTATCCTGCTACGAAGATCACACGCCTCAGCTGACGAACCCGAACCCTTCCGGAAACCTCCACCGAAGCCTGCAGACTCGAACAGCGAACATGGAGCATCGCACGACCAGTCTACTCCTTCCTATACCTCGGACGGGGAATCCGACAAACCAGTCCCTGCGCAGAAAGCCCTGCAAGATATGTCCAAGATGTCCTTATACGACAAATTAGCATACCAATATCCATACGACGTCGAGACCAAGTTCCCGGCCTATATTTGGCAGACGTGGAAATGGACGCCCGCTAGTGGAGAATTCAACTTTAGAGACCAAGAAGCTTCGTGGTCGATGCAACACCCAGGATTTGTCCACGAGGTTATCACCGATCAAGTCGCCGTACACTTACTAAGGTTGCTTTATGCTCCTATTCCCGAAGTCCTCGAAGCGTACAATGCGCTCCCCCAACCTGTTCTAAAAGCCGACTTCTTCCGTTACCTTATCCTTCTTGCCCGTGGTGGAATTTACTCCGACATTGACACGTTCGCTATCAGGAGTGCTTTAGAATGGATCCCAGAGTCTGTGCCGAAAGAAAGCATAGGACTGGTCATCGGCATCGAGGCGGATCCCGACCGACCCGACTGGAAAGACTGGTATAGCCGGCGCATTCAATTCTGCCAGTGGACTATCCAGGCAAAGCCGGGCCACCCGGTCTTACGCGACATCGTTTCGCGCATCACCCAGGAGACATTGAAGCGGAAGCGCGAGGGCACGTTCGTGTCAAGGGAAAAGAGCGTGGTAGAGTTTACCGGTCCTGCTGTCTGGACGGACGTGATTTTCGACTACTTCAACGACCAGCGTTACTTCGATATGAGCAATAGTCAGGGCAATGTTTCATACGTAAACTTCACAGGGATTGAAAAACCGAAGAAGGTGGGCGACGTCGTCGTGCTTCCCATTACAAGCTTCTCGCCCGGCGTCCAGCAGATGGGAGCAAAAGACTACGACGACCCAATGGCATTTGTCAAGCATGACTTCGAAGGTGAGGGTTTCCACTCTATGTAGCCACAAGTATCCTTTGTTAACATTTTTAGGCACCTGGAAGCCTGAAAGCGAACGGCATATTGGCGAGACTAACTAGGGGCTATTAATTGCGCCTTATATACCCTAGGTCGCCTCCAGGCTATCGTCTCGTCGTCCCCTGGGAAATTTGGCCTTCTAAATAGGTCCTCCTCCGGCAACCATAGGAACATATCAGCTTCCTGGTCTGATATCACGAACTCGGCGATCGTATACATGATTTGTAACACTATTTTGCTACTTACGAAGTTCACGACCCGGCTCATGTGATAGCGTATACCAGTTTTTCCCACGGGGATGTTAAAGCAGTCACTCATTACTAAGTCTCTGTTCAAAATTATATGAGGGGAAGCCGTAAATTCGACGCGGATGAGAAATTTGCAAGTTCCATCCGACTATTTTGTACCAACACTCTATTGCTTTATTCCCGAAGATGGTGGCTGGCTGGCGCCGGGTGCGGACCTTTCGGCGGACACACGAAACAAATAGAATACATACGGTTGTTCTTTGGCGCAACAGAGAAGAAAAAGAAATGGGCATTCGGGGTACCGCTCATCGGGGAGGACCAATTGTATATACCCGTTATGCATGGATTTGGGCGTTTGGTGGATATTTAGTCTTGCTTTTCAGCAACAACATGGGCCCCGCGGATAATAATGGTCTGATGGGGTTACCTTTACAAAGTCCTTCTTTTGCATATTTCTCTTAATTGTGCATACAATTGCAAGACGATACAATTGTAAGACGGTGTGTATAATTTCTAATACGCCCCTGGTCCCGGCCAACGTACCGGCGAACCCAAATGCCAAATTTCTCCCCCGCTTCTCCTCATTGTCAAGCGGCTGGAGCCCCCCGCTTCCCCGGTACAATGACGATGTGGCTAGCTCTACAGGGGCTAGCGATGGCGGGTCCCCTCGAGTATATGTTGAACGCGCCCGCTCTAGATGTTCTACTGCTGCGAGGTATCGGACAGACGAACGCGGGCTATGGGAGTCCACGAGGCGTTGTTGTCCATCGTGTCACCGCCGCTTCCGATTTGAGACTCGCGAGGGATATGAATACGCGGCTCTTGTGGAGGGAATAGAGGAACTTGAGATTGTACCGGTGCTGAGGAATTGCTCTTCTTATTTTTGATTCTAGAGCTTGAGTTGAAATACTCAAGACAATATGGAGTCATCATTTCGACTATTGGCGTCGAACGCCTTGCGTGGCTATACGTTAAGCCGTCGGGTTTTGCGGTATGGCTCTACTCGAGGGCTAGCGATATCGGGGGCTTTACGCGGTTCGACGGGAAGTCGATTGATGCAGCGGAGATGCATTGCTACATCTGACTTGAGTTATGTGGAGGGACCTCAAGAAGTAAGTCATTTTTCATCTGGTTGGGTGGCTCGTTATATATCTTGTACGACTTGTCCACCGTTTAACTCATGCAAGGTGAAAGGGCTATTAATTACCATGTCGTTTACTTAAAGGGCATTCACTTGATTTGTACCCTAAAGCTTGTATAACCATATAAAGCGGAAAATATCTATTATAATACAATAAAACTACCTACCTACCCAGTAGCAATTCATACTAATACTCGATAGCCGCCGTTGCTCACATGCACGATACCAGAACATTTCTCAGAGATAGTCTCGCAATATGGCGACCGACCAGCAGCCGTGTTTCGGTCTCCAACAACTGCTGATATGAATCCAACATTAACTTCATCCAAGCCGGAGACTACGACTCTAACGTATGAGGATCTCGACACCCAGTCAAATATCCTCGCGCACTCATTACGGTCCCTTGGCGTAAAAAAGGGGGACCGTGTCGCCGTGAGCCTAGGGAACGTCACCGAGCACGCCGTGTTAACTTATGCCATCTTTAAGTTAGGCGCCATTTTGGTTCCGCTCAACCCGACCTTCAACGCCTACCAACTCAGCGCCGCACTGTCCCGCCTTGGCGTCGAGGTCCTCGTTATTGCAGCCGTTACGGACCTTTCTTACAAGCCCTGTCGTGGCCGCAGCAACTACGACCTCTTGTCCGCCCTTGTAACTGATCTATCTAGCAGTAAAGTCGAATCATCGACTGTCCCTACGCTCAAATCTGTAGTGCTCGTAGATAATACGCCCTCTCACCCCCTCGCTAGCTTTCCACCCATACAAGACCTTAGTGCACTAACCCCTTATTCCTCACTCCTCTTATCTTCCTCCTCATCTTCTTCTCTCTCCCGTTCGATAATACCAGACGCTCCGCTCGCCCCGGCGGAAACGATTAACATCCAATTCACATCAGGCACGACATCCATGCCAAAGGCCGCGATGCTAAACCACACTAACATCCTAAACAACGGCCGGCTAATCGCGGCGCGCATGGGGCTTGATCCTAGTGACCGGATAGTGTGTCCGCCGCCGCTGTTCCACTGCTTCGGTTTCGTGCTAGGGTTTATGGCAACCGCAACGACGGGAGCTTGTATCGCGTTCCCGAGCCCGGCGTTCGACCCTGGAGCCTCCCTGCGCGCCGCCGCGGAGTTACGCGCTACGGGGTTCTATGGCGTGCCTACTATGTTCGCGGCCGAGTTCGAACTCCTCGCCAACCCAGCTTTCGCCGCGCGTTTGCCACCAGGTGGCCTTAGCAACCTACGCAAGGGAATTGCGGCAGGCAGTTCGATTCCGGAGCCGCTAATGCGCGAGTTACGAGAGAAGCTGGGGCTCAAAGATCTGGTTATCTGCTACGGCATGACGGAGACTAGTCCCGTAAGCTGCATGACAGCTCCCACGGACCCGGACGATAGACGCGCGAGTACCGTGGGTCGCGCGATGCCACATACGACTGCTAAGATTGTCGCGCCGGGCGACCGGTCACGAATCGTGCCGCGTGGGCAGTGCGGCGAGTTAGCTGTGTCGGGATACCTACTCATGAAGGGGTACTGGAATGACGAGGAGCGAACGGGTGAGGACCTGGTTCGGGATCAGGATGGTAGGCTGTGGATGTATACTGGTGATGAGGCGCGCATGGATCGTGACGGGTTTATCGAAATTACGGGCCGCATTAAAGATTTAATCATCAGGGGCGGCGAGAACATACATCCGCTCGAAGTTGAAGTTGCACTAGTAAGGCACCCTCGCGTGCGCGAGGCCAGCGTCGTGGGAGTACAAGATGAGCGGTACGGCGAGGTCGTCGGCGCATTCGTAGCAGTGCATGCAGGTGTCAAGACACTAGAAGATGGCGAGGTAGATGGGGGTAAAGGGGAAGCATTGTCCAAGGATGAGGTGAGGGATTGGGTCCGGAGACAGCTATCGGGTCATTTGGTGCCGAAGTACGTCTTTTGGACCGACGAGTTCCCTAAGACGGCCAGTGGGAAGATACAGAAGTTTAAGTTGAGGGATGTTGCGAAGGAATTGCTTGGTATGGCGGCGAAATAGGTACCTATATAAGTCTGCATTTGGAAGGCTAGCATTGCATAGGTTAGGTGGCAGCTATAAGTGCGCTTTGAACATATTCTATATCAAAGACAGACCCTCTCCTGTTGTGGTATATGTTTTATGTACCCTTTTCCTAATTCTTCACCAAGGCATTAGTTAGCATGTTACGATATTCAAAATAGGTATATTTTTCTCGAATAACAATATTAACAGAACGTGAATAGGTAGAGGAGTATCCGCAAAAGGGGTATTGCAGTAAACTTTCAAAACGCCTTCGAACGAGGGTATCCCCAAAATCATCCCCTATGCAATGAACTCCAGAGGAGTCTTCTTCGACTACCCACAAACAAAAAGAACAAGATGGTATTTCCAAAAGCCAAGGCTTTAAGCCTCCAAACACCGTGAATACACGCACGTAAGTCGTTGAACCTATTATATAGGCCGTAGTTCGTAACCAGTTTCCCCACCCCCTGTTTCTTTCCGCTATCCTAGCCCACTCGCAGCTTTGGCTTTGGCTTTATTCACCGATACGTTTAGGGCTGGGCTGAGGGCTCATATTCAGACATCATCTGAATTTGCTTAGCTGTAATGTATAAAACCTTGGTAGATGATGTATCATTGCGTCGCAGCTTGTCTTCTGCGAAGTTTTTCACGCTTCCGTTCTGTGACGGAATAGTGCTTGGATTGTGAGGGACCTTGTACCGCTTAAATAGGAGTTCGTTGCGCGGAGCTTGTCAGTTATGCGCGTTACGCAGGGGCGGAAGTGGTGGTTTCGGATCTGATTGTATCTAATTTCCCCTGAATTATATCCTTTTCCGAAAGCGATAGCAATCCCTTCAACGGGATAGGCGAGCCTCGCAAAAATTGTCTCCCGGGGCGGCTATGGGATCTGTGAGTTGGCCGCAGTGCTCATAGTCTCGGCTACCGACGTCATGCCAGAACCCGCCATCGTGAATGGGGCGTTGCTCTTGGGGAATAAGTTTGAGACCACGTTGATAACGCCGCCTTCGCCGCTAACATAGATGGAGGCGTATCTAAGTAACAGGAGAACGTTCCGTTCGGTGTAGAGGATGGCAGCAAAAGAGATAGTGGTGAATAGGAAGCAGAAGATGGTCCAGAAGACGGCCTTCTCTATGGGTGTATAGACGTACACGCCATAGGTGACTTCGATACGGTACTTCTTGAGGCTGGCCCAGCGGACGAGAGCCTCGATTGTGGAGGGAGATGACGACATTGCGGTATAGTATTATAGTATATGTATATTAGCTGTAACTAGTAGCTGTAGCAATGGCGATGTCAATGTCGATTATTATAACGATGCCGAGGAGTTCCAAGGATCTTGGCTACAGTCTGGGCGACCCAGGAAAAGAAAAACAAGCAAAGAAAACGCGAATCATCCAGGAGGTAATAGGTAAATATTAATATAAGAGAGACTTTTCGGCATTTAGCTTGCGTTCCCTTCGGCCTTGGCATATATTAATACACTCTTGCCCGGACTGGCGCCAGTGACATCGGAAGAAAGAGTCATGGTCAAGTGGGTACGTGGAATATAGATACATAGTGCGTAAGTAGTGGTACCCGGTAGGTATGAAAATGGGATAGTAGCGACCGCCGGATCGCTCGGAATTCCAATTCTTGTCTATTCTTGCCTTGCCTGTTGTCGTTATAAGCGGCACCTACCTGACATCTACGCATGCTAACATAGAATCCCTGGGGGGTGGCTCATTGGCCTATATGAGCTGTGATCAATGATACTCGCATGCCACGTGGATTGGTAGCCTTGCGGTTCTGATATATGAAGTCGTCAGGTGGACAAGATAATACAAAGACTTTAACCACATTCATACACAGAGGGGAGGAGAAGGAAGTAAGACGGGAAGAATTGAAAACGAAATAGGTAATGGAAGAAAGCAAGGGTCTATCGGAGTTTTGCATAGCGCCTAAAACTCGATCACCGGTTCGGCACCATCGGGTTGAGGCTCTTTTATTTTCTTCTTATTCCCATTTCATTTCCAACCTCACTGGCGAGGGCTGGTGACTTCGCTCGTCCTCATCCTTACTTAGCCATGTCTTGTTATTGTATTTTATTATCCATCTCACCAACTGGACTGGAATTCGAGTTTCACTCCTATTATAGTAGATAGTAAGTAGCCTGCTTAGCAATATGCTGACATATGAAGTCGATGAGCTAGCATTGGTGGCCGTCATGTCCCGTTGGAACGAACCATTGAAGTCTTCTTTCCTATCGCGACGTACTAGTCTTTTCCTTTATTAGGTTAGTATTTGAAGCTCGGGTAGTAGTTAGGTTAGGCGTTAACGGTTTAGACCGAGAATGTCAGACGCACAGGGCTGACAGCATAAGCTTTTGATGCCAACGAGTTGAGTTAGTCTGCCAAGAGTGCCCCGGAAGGAATTCAAACCATGTATTTTTCTAGTCGCATACCTAGCCGGCGATGATCGGGATTCGGAGAGAGTATTGAAGAATGGCGTAAATAAACACCTAACCGTATGTGTCCTGCGCAAATAGTTTCTAAGCTTGATTTATACCCAAGATATTGCAAACAGGGTAAGAGACTGTAGAAAATAAAGAATAATTCTGAGGTGAGAATGAGAGAACACAGGTAGGTAGATAGCGGGACGGTCAACTTGAAGTATCACTGCATAAGCGACATGACCAAACGTTTACGCGAAGTTCGAAATTCGATTCCTCCCGCCGCAAATGTGTGTTCCTTCTATAAACAGTATGCGCCCAAGCGCATACTGTGCAAATCTGCAAGGTATACCTACACAATATCCTGGCCGGCAGATGGCCTACCCAAAGACTCGGAAAACTCGGATAGTCGCTCGGTCACGCCCACAACCCTCGAGCCAACCACCGGCGAGCCGCGCTAAAGGTCGATACATAGAAGAAAAGAAGCTTCTAGTTTGGACCCGCCGCGCCAGGTTCTTTTCAGTCACAAGGTCCGATTTGAAGACCTTTACATATGTAGAAAAGAAAAGAAAAGGACTCATCGTACGAACTTGCTTACCATCGTGTGATGTCACCAGAGCAAACGTCGCGGTTATCGAGCGCGATTGCCGATTTCTTCCGCGCTAGATCCTATGTATAGCCGCTAGGTTACGTCCGTCTAGCCCCCGGTAAGACCGACTTTGAGATATACCCGGGCACATGGGTTCTATCGGTTCGGCGGGAGCTAACCTGTATGCTCCGGGTATATCCGACGAGCGAGGATAAAGAGTAAGAAAGTTGGAATGCCCCCAGGATCATATAATACAACGGACTTACCTAAATAGCTAGGTGACTTTCTAATGATTCACCCTTAGCCCCGAGTCGTGCAGGTCGCCTCATGCACATGGCAACTCCCAGCGAGAGTTTCCCGGTATCGCAAAGTCGCATTCTAGCGGCCCATGCCGTATAGTGCCTATGGGGTAACACTACATACGCCGATGAAGCCTTTATTGTAACCTGGCTCACTACCAACCTTAACGCCGGATATGCAGCTATATAGCTGGTCATACCTGTTTGCCCGGGTTTATCGCATAGGGAAGCAATCCGATTGTGAGTATAGCCGCTACCTCGGTCGATTGTCAATAAGAGCGCCTATCTCAGATCAATGTTTCTTCATGAGAAGCCAACGAATTGGGACTTTAGAGACAGATGAAGACCTTGTTCAAAGAAAGTGGGTATTTTAACATTGTGTTGAGTACAGAAGCTATCATAAATACTCGCTCAAAACTTGGCTGTTTATGTGAGTTATACGAGCTATATCCCTTAACAAGACCACGCAAGATGAATTGTTGCATGCGAAGTGATTCGCCGATTAATTCATATTGACGATGCAATCCGCTCCGTCGGTTCGATCTGAGTTCAAATCGTAGACGTAGTAGACTATTTCCGCGGTTCGGAACCCCACCTAATGGTCCCTCGGTGTTGTTGTCCCGGCTTCATCGCCTTAGGCAAACACTTCCAAGAGCAACCTCTCATCGAGAAGGGGATTGCCCTCTCATTATCTCTCAAACCTACAAAATCTGCGGACATGTCGTTTGCTTTCTCGTCGACATCAAGGCGAAAAATTTCCCACCATTCGATCCATTCGGTCAAGGGCACTGCGACTCGCCGTCCGCATACCGAGCAAGGTAAGTCACCAGAATTAGCGTTCTGCTCGCTTCGATCGGCAAGCCGATAAAGCAGCTCCGTGAAATGCGGAGGCGCGTTGGGTGGAAGGTAGGACGGCAATTCTCGTAGCTGCCCAGATCGTAAACAAGTCTGGAGAGCTAGTTCAAGTAGCGAAGGCACACGGCTTTGATCGCAGATGGAAGCGGACTGATTTCGCCTGAGCCGCGGGGGCTCTGGAGATAAATAGAGATCCTCGGTTTGAATCACCTGGTTTGGATGCTCCACATTCTCATATGTTGGCCTATCTGCGGTAGTCAATTTTGAGTTGGGTAGTTTATACGTGGAGACCACGACCCCTCGGCTATCGCTAAATTGTACCGGTGTCCGTGCGACTGCAAGAACTTCCCACAAAGAACCATGTAGTCTTTTACCAGCGAGCGCCTCGGGCCGGACGGAAGTGTCATATTGCTTGTCGAGCCAGAACCGTATCCTCTTGCCATTAGGTCGCATTAGCTCGTCCTGAAAGAACACGGCTTGCTCGTGCCTTACTTCGTTCCAAGTATCGTCGTCAACAAAACCCGATTCAAAATTGTCCGGCTGGTAAAAGGGGTTCGGGTGTACGTTTAAAATCTCAAGTTTGCTAGGAAACTTCAACAGATCCAGCAATTCCCCTGGTAAAGACCGAAGACGCGTAAGAGATATATTTAGGGTTTGAAGGTTACGAAGTTTTCCAATACTAGGCGGGAGCTCAGTAATATTGGTATTTCGTAGAGTGAGAATAGTCAAATTCTCCAGATTGAAGATAGCCCCAGGAGCACGTGAAAGAGGGTTGTTGGACAAGTAAAGAGAAATAGATGGTTCCTTAGGCTGAAATGGAAAATCTTCAGCTATAAGGGGGACAGTATCGAGCATAGAAAGCTGCGATATAGTTGCATTAGAGATACTATCAATCCGGGAGGAGCTATAGCTAATTAGTGCCTGCGTGTATTATGTGGCGGCCCAGAGTTTCTGCACCGGCTTGCGGACGAAAAAGCTACTTACGATAGGTCTATAGTAGTGCTCCCAGCATCTATAGCATCCTGTATTACATGCCGAGCGATTGCTTCACTAGGGGAGATAGCCGGGACGGGCCGAACATGCCTGAGTTGCGGCAGTTTAGATGAAGCAGTCAAATCCATTTCCGTAACTGTATCGTCATCTGTATCCACAGAAACGTCGCTTCCCATCCAAACTCCACTGTCGAATTGTCGCTCAAAGGTTCTTTTTTCTTTTGGCAAAGGCCGTACAACCTCGGGAAACGTCGAATCAGATGAGGCGAGGTGCTGTTGAAACCAGGAGCCGACATAGCGCTTTTTCCTATGTCTTCCCTGAGTATAATTCTCTACATGAGGATCATCATCGCTGGAGAAAACAGCTGGGTCGCTTGAGTTAGCATATACTGGTGGCGCAAGCGATTGGTCGCGAGCGCGTTTTCGCGTATTAGTGAAAGTTTGGGTGTGAGAGTCCCAAGACACTGCGGGGAGCTTTGGCAGGGTAGGCTCCTCGTCGTCCATAATTGCGATGAGGTGATCAATACTGTGTACTAGGAAATAAATAACCTGGATTGTAAGGTGACAATGAAATTTGGCCGGTCAGTAACAGGTGAAATTGATTCAAATAAAAGCTGAACTTTCAGTTGGAGTAAATATTAGCGGGATGCTTCGATGGTCAAGTACGCAAAGCAGGCGCGTCACGTCACGTCAAGTGCGTAAAGACCCACTTTCCTTAACTAGCAAGCGCGGCTCTGCGATCGCGGACCTAAAACCCCTGTACATGCAACCCGCCGTCCCAAGGTTTTGGTTCAATTAAATTCGATTCGCCCGTAGCTTTCTGTCCAAAATTCTCCTTCTGTCGAAACCAACTTAACATCCATCTGTTATGCATGTTTCGGCTGGGTCTATCCAGAAATAGCTCGATGGATGAGATCGTTAGAATCGCTAATCTATACTCCACTAGTCCATCTAGCCTCCACTATCAAGGGTTTAAAAAGGGTTTATACATATCGAATTGGCTACCACTCCCCGGGGTCAACAACAGGACTACTCCTGCAAATCATATTCATCGTAAGTTGTGTATTATATGCCTCCGAAGTCGGATACTAATTAACTCGGTTGACATTGGCAATGCGAGAGCAATATGATCGCATATATGAGGTATGCTCTCAATCCCAATCATCATCATCGTCGTCGTTAGCGGTCGCATGTTTCAGATTTCCACTCTTGATCCCTTTGCTCATTAGTTGCTCTTCCTTCGCATCCTCTGCATCTCTCTTCCTTTTTACTACTCTCATGTCTTTCTCACCGACCGCGCCCACCTCGACTAGCAAGCTATCAATATCCAACATGCTTATTCGCACACCACCCATAGTGACAAGAGTGACTATTTGCTTCACGATATCACCATTCTTATACACAAGAATGGTTGGGCAGTTGCGATCTGGATAATTTTCGATTGCCTTGTCCGCTCGGATTTCGCAGAATTTAATATCAGCGTATTCTTTCGCTGCTTGCATCCAAAGCTCTGATAAAACCCTCGATTCGATGTTGGTACCAAGCGAGGATGTAAGGTTGACAAAAACGGGCTCCTTGTGTGAGGCTTCTGTTACCTCGCGCGAATACTCCGGTTTTGACAGCGGATAGACTGTGCCGTGTCTTGACTTCTTAGTCAAACTATTTAACTCTTGCATTCGCTTCTGTCGGTACTGTTCTAGAAAAGCATCGTCTTCTTCATCTTCCAGCGCGTCAAGCTCATCAAGTTCTTTCCCCTCTAACCTATTCTCATGCGCTATTCGATGGGCCTCGAATAAAGCTTCTTCTATCATAGGTGTAGGAGAGGGGGGCTTTTCGGGTATGACGCCGTGTTTACGGAGTATGTCATTCCTATCGTAGTCTATGAGATGAGAACTTAGGTTGTGGGGGGTTTGTTCTGAATAGGACGTACCATTCAGTATCCGCATTTGGGTCGTCGATAGGAACAGCTATTCGCTGTTCTGCTGGAGCAGCCATCTTGATTGAATTTGATATAGTCGTAGATAATGCGATGGTAGGGTGAAGCAAAGTTACATAAGATCAATAATGATATGCAATAAAGTACTGTGAGGATATCTTCGGGTTATCTTGATACCTATAAAACTAAATTTTGAAGGATGCCTGACGTTGCGTTACGTACCTAAGGTACATACATGTAGGTAGGTAGCCAACGTGATTTAAGCAATAACCCCTCCAAGTGGAGGCCTTGCTAGATGACGAAATACCTAGCCCAACTTCAACTGGCAGCTGGCTGGAACCTCTGCCAGGTGTATGACTCGGTAGTCTCGGGTTTCGGATCAGTGTTTCCAGCTCCAGCCATAAAAGTGGATTATTAAAAAGCCCTAGCCCTCCTCAGCACTAAGCCTGATTTAGCTAAACTAGAAGGATCTTAGTTAATTTCGCCTCTTGCCCACCAGAGCCAATCCGCCGAATCAAAATCCAGCTCTCCAAAATTTACCAAGCGAATTTTTATTCTAGGACACACACGACCTTCCCCTCAATCTCTTAACTACCTCAACCATCGTTGTTCGCAAGCACAGCCAAAATCTGTCATCAACTCTATCTTCAGATTTCGCCAGCCAATATTTCGCTTGCCAATCCAATAATCAAGATACTTCTTGTGACAGTCAGACAAGATGGTAAGTCTAAATGAATCTTGTTTTTGTTTACGCTCTCCATCATGTTGTCGACCGATCTCCGCGATTTTCGACTTATCAATCATCGACGCTTCCACGACAATACCAATACCAACATCGGCAAAGGTCTTCCCTTACATCTAAACACGATGTTTAGAATGAGTGTTGCCATTTATCAGATGCTCGAGACGGTTTAAATACAACTTTGATGTGCGGGTGGATGTTTGGATTTGCACTCACAAATGATACCCTGCTAACAAATTTTTTCTCAAGGTTCTCGCCGTTGATCTTCTCAACCCTAGCCCGGCTGCTGAGGCCAAGAAGCACAAGCTAAAGGTACGATACCAATCTGAATTTCAATATTAGACAATACTAATGTTATCGAATAGACCTTGGTGCCCGGCCCCCGATCCTTCTTCATGGACGTCAAGTGCCCCGGCTGCTTCACAATCACCACCGTGTTTTCCCACGCCCAGACCGTCGTTATCTGCCAAGGCTGCACCACTGTCCTTTGCCAACCTACTGGTGGTAAGGCTCGATTGACCGAGGGCTGCTCTTTCCGAAGAAAGTAGAGGGTTTCGTCTCGCGTTTTCTTCGTTCTTGGGCATGGGTTACGACTTCATGGGTATAGTTCGGATATCTGCAAGGTACTCGACGGAATGGGCGCATGAAAAAAACTTGGCATCTTGTCTTCCGGACATACTCGACTTCTACGAACCTCTACGTCTTTGCAGATAGACGACGGATACCAAGAACCTTAATACAAAAGGGGCGTTTGGGGTCCTGATATCTTGCATCATCCGTTTCGCTACGAATGATTTTTCCTCGTTTTCTCGCTTTGTGTATTACGAAGTCGTCACCTTCAGACATAAGCAGGATGGTTTATTCTGCATGGGTGGATAGCTGGAAATGGCTTTCCACATGAGCATCTTCCGGGGCCTATTTCTGCCAGCGTAGGTCTCTAGATGTGAGGACGTGGAACGTTGATTGAGGATCGCTACATACCCAGCCGTAGTGATTGTTGTTTTCACTGCATTAGGCGAATTCACATGGTTCCACTAGCTTTTTTGACTTTTTTCCCACCGTGACGACCGATGTCCATTGCTTCTCTAGGTTTTCCATAACTGAAATTTTATAACGTAGATCTTAACTACACGAACCGATCGCGTTTGAAGTGAAGTCGTATCCTCTGCTCTTACTGTAGTATAATTTGTCCTATGGGAATTCCCACTATTAAGAGGAGTAACTACCCAATCTGCAGTGTCCTATAGGGATCGCTAGATATGTAGATTACGTACTTAAGAGGTTCCTTATCTATTCAGTGAATTATGATCGAATGGACTATGCCGTCAAATAGATTAGGCTATTGTGGTACGTGTTACACTCTTGCTAAGCTATCAGTCATTGTGTCCGGATTTTAGATTTTTTAATGGAAGGAATTAATATCAAGGCCAAGCCAGGTCACATGGACGGGATGTTGTTATGTCTCCGGCCATGTAATACTCAACGAAGATATTCAATATTAATATTTTCCATAGAATTGAATATTGACACCTCAAATTAGTAAGCGCGGTGGAACTAACCGTTTATGAAGATCTACATGTAACTTCTATGCCTGTAGGTACTTAGGTACTTAAATGTAAGCTTAATGCCAAGGTTTCGATTAAACGCGTCAAAACACGGTTCGGAAAGTGCCAATTACGCGCATCGTGCAGCCTCCCCACTTCCAACTTTAGGTATCGTCCGATCAACCCCAGATTATCCAGCCTCTTTTATAATTTCCCCTTCTTCCATCTTCATAATACACGAGACGAAACCATCGGTACCAGGCAAAACATGCTTCCTTAATTACACTACCAATACGTAGGTGACTCTAGATTTGGAATCTTCACTTCTAAATATTCAATTCCTCCTTGCCCTTTCCTGGCTACAGATTTATTGGGGGCTTGGAAAGCTCACATTGCGTCATCGCGATAATTTGAACCACGAGAGCCAGATCCCCGGAACTCCTCATTATCAGATCTGAGGCGTCCTATATTTGGTCTAAGTGGGCCTCGTTCGCATACGACACGTAATACCTATCCACCTATCCCTCACAGCCATGTCGGCCCCGCGAACAAAGCGCCAATTCGCAGGCGCAGCAAGCGATCCCGCCCAACGACAGATTACCTCGTTCTTCGTCTCGCAACATCCTGATACTTCCTCCGCTACTCATACCAACGCGCGGGCGCACAATACCTCTGATCCTGCCAGCCCCTCTCTTCCTGCGTCGGTGCAAGCGAACCTCCTTTCGGTGGGCATGCGAGTGCGCAAGTCCGTCCCCGAAGGCTATAAGACAGGAAGTTACAGTGCTTTTGCGCTCTGGGACGAGAGCAACAACGTCTCTACGACGATGGGCGAGGGACGATTACGCGCTAATGCCATTTCGACGCCGCGGGAACTCCTTCCCTTCTGCGGGATCAATAAGGTCGGCGGTCTAGGAACACAACCAGAGAACACCCAATCATTCTCCACTGCCGCAGCCTACCAGCCGTTACTCAGCCTCAACGGTGTGCCTCTCGACGAGATGATGGACGAAGATGTTCCCGGCCTAACGAGCAGCCAGGACTCCGTCGGGAGTACCGGTTCAAGCATCTCTCCTACGCGAACTCGCAAGCGTTCTTATACCGAGGACGAAGACGAAGCGCCTCAGACCCCAGGTCGTCTCAATCTCGACTTCAACCCAAGTGTCTGGAGCGACAGGTTTGACGGCGAGGTCAGTCCGCGGAGCGTGGCGCCCGTCGGCTGGGGTGCGAATAACGGCCGCGTCATGGCAACGCCGCGGAAGACCAAGTTTCGGGGAAACAAGCTGTTATCACACGCCATAGGTCAAGAGAACGTCAGGGTGGTAGGAAGTACTGACGGCACTGACTTCGAAGAGGCGGATTTCCTGGTCCGGACATCCGACCTGGAATACAGAGATGGTTCACAAGGTTGGGAGGTCGAGATGAGCGATGTTTAAGTGTGAATGATACGAATCGTCTTTACCGTGTATTGAATAACGATAAGATACCCAGAAGAGGAGCAAGGCACAAGAAGGGGAACAGGAAATGCGAAGATGAAGACGGCTCAGTTGAGGCTGTTGTATTATTTCGGATTGTCATTGGCGGACCGGCGTTTTTAGCGAAGACTGCATGGGTTAATGGGCTACCTGGCATTGAGGAATTTGCTCGCGTCGTACGCGAGTTGTGTTATGCTGCGTCACATTGCATACAATTATGTATCATATTGAGGACGATACCTAGAGGAAAGGGGAGGAGTACACACGGGGGGACCAGTGCGTAATAGCCGAAGGTGTATTAGCTCATCTCCATAGGAGAGAGAATAAGGTAGTTTGTAGCATCACATAAAGAATTATTACAACATCGACATAGTCTATACTCGTAACTAGTATGCGCGGTGTCTTAAGAATTACTAAGTTTTGTATTTATTATCTAACCTAAGAGGTAACTATACCTTCAACTACAAAAACCTTTAAGCGAATAGAGCAGTCTAATCATATATCTACGTGCAAGGCACAACACATGCTTTCACCTACTCGACCTGAATCCCTCCAAACGGATCCCGGAACTCCAAAAGGTCGCGCTGTCCGTAAAACTCACCGGCTACAGTAAGGATCATGTTTAGGGTAGCGCGCTCGTTGGCCTTGGCTCTGCGAAACTGCTCCGTCTTCGCTTCCTCTTCCTCTGCCGCGAGCGCGAGAAAGGCCTCCTCTTCTAGCGCTGTAACAGGCAACTCTTCCGCTGGGGTATCACCGTTCTCGGCCGCGGTGCTGTTGAGCTGTTCGAGCAATCGGGCCTTGGCCCTCTCTATGTCAGCCGTGGGTTCTGTTTGCTGCTGGGGTGCGTCGGATACTTCCCCGTCCTCCTCCTCTTGTGAATCTATCTCCATCTCGACGTCTGATAGCTCCGTTTTTATTTCTTCGGAGGGTACCTCGGTTCCGGAAGTTTCTTTTGCGTTGAGAGCATTGGTGTCCGTGTCAGGTTCACTTTTGATTGTACCGTTGTAAGGTGCAAGTTTGGGCACCCTACCGCCCGGGGGTTGACCGGGGCCACGGTGGTGAGGTTCAGGATCATTGACATCAGTGTCGATATCCTCATAGTCACAGCATTCACCTTGGCTCGTCTCGTCGATGCTTTCGTCAACTTCGACTTCGCCTTGGCTTTCGGCATTACTGTCACCGACATCGTAGTGTTCCTTCAGGACTTCCATCTCAGCCAAGCTAACCATGAGCAGGACTGCTCTCTTACCCAACTCGCGTATCCAGCCAATCTCTTGGTAGTCGAGTTCACCTCTCTCGGGAAGACGCGCGAGCAGCGCCCAGATCCACCTGCTTGTACGTTCACGGAGCTCCTGGTTTTTACGTAGGAACTTGCCACCGAGTATAATGCGCAGCAGGCGCATAACGCCATCTTTATGCATCCCGGCGATTTGGGCAGGCAATGGATCCGTACCCCGGAGCCGGCCAGACCACTTCGCAAATGTATCAGATCTAGGTCCGAACTCGCCTACTTCGGTTGGGTTCGACCTAGGGAGAGAATATAACAAATGATTCGGTGGGTCTGCTTGTAAAACCTCGCGCAGAGCTAGGAACTGGTTTGTGAGAGATAGAAAGTACGCCTCGTAGATCTCGTCGGAATTGCTGTTGCGCGGGCCGCCTTCGCTTGATTCAGAATCGCTCGCATCGTCATATCCTAGCTCTGGGTCCTCTCGCCCCCCCCCTTCCTCACCATCGTAATTCTCGTCATAATATTCATCCTCATCTTCTTCGTCTTCGTCCTCATCCTCGTCTTTGTCAAAGTAACCCGGTGGGTACGCGGTGTACGCTCCATCATGATAGAATCCTCTAAAATCGCCTCGGCCGTCTTTATATATGCTACGGTCGATGGGTTCCTCATTGTCGTCTTGTTGGTCTACTAGATCGTCTGTGGACTGTTGTAGAGCTTCGGGTGGCTGCGGACCAGCTTTACTAGCGACCATAACATGTGGGATTGCGGATGCTTGCACTCTATACTCACCATATCAGTATTGATCACCTAAAGAAAGCCAAGATTCTGATTTAGCTTTGAGAGTCTGGAGATGGAAGTAGTAGAGATAATCTTACCGCACAGACTTAAGGTACGCCAGCGCCTCAGCATCATCTTCGCAGTCCAGGTCGCTATCCTCAGGCGGTACAGTTGTCATGCACTCAGAGTCACCAAACACTGATCGCTGGCCGTAAGTTAAACTCGGAAGAACCGTTGATCGTACAGAGTTGGAAAATCGTTGACGGCGAAGTTTTCTAGGCAGCTCCTCGCCGTCATTTTCAGCAGTGCGCTTCGATCCCATGGCGGCCACTAGGTTTATTCGGAATGAATGCGCGTACGGGGTGGGTTGATTTGTTTGAAGATGAATTATACGTGATGAGAATTGGAAGAAGGGGAATAGGAATGGGAATGGGAATGTTTAAGGTCGAATAGATAATTGCATATGGAATACCTTTAAGGTTAAATGGGTGGATAGTAGCTCAATAGCGGGGCGCTAATATGCTCATTATTTAAGCTTCAGCACAGGTGTAGCAAAAAGTGTAAAGAGTTTGATTTGGTAACATTAGAGCTTGTGGTATAAATCTAATTCATTAAAGTCTAATTCATTCATAAAAGACAAGGTCGAGTTTAAAGCAAACTTTTAACATTATAATCCAAATAAGGGAGAGGTACCCGACGTACGTAGGAGGTTAGTCCATCTTATTCCTCACAGCTGACATTTTTCAATAACTACCATTTGGCATTCCCCTGTGTTTATTATAGGCATTGTATTATAGCACGCGATTGATATATACTTGAAATCAAACACTAAAAATTAAAATCTGGGTTGGTGCCAAGCGGTAGTTATTTCTATTAATCCTTAAGTAACTACCTTAAGTATACCTAGGTAGCTAAGATGTAGGTAAGGTTGATGGAAGAGACAACACCTCCTACGCTTTAGGACGCATTTCAGATTCAATCCTCGCTTTTACAGGCTGTACGTGGTTATTGGTATGCTACGTTGGTAGCATAATACAGATATGGCTCACAACCTAATGTCATGACTTGGGGACGTTGGGAGGTTTAACCTTTTAGGTAAGATATAATATTAGCACGAGGGAATCTGCCTACGTATTAGTCAATCCTATACTATCTAGTTAGCGAGGATATGAGATTACTAGGAGTAATTTCCCTCCTATAGAACTTCATAGCAAGGATCGACTGGCCCCCAATATGACCTGTAATTAGTTGCAATATATTAAGCCTTCGATATCCATAAAGGCTACAGTTCTACTTACCTAGGATATCGGTAGGCTATATATGTACATTAGGTACTCATACCGTCACAGTCTTTCGACGAGTTCACTGGTTCTAGTTAACGGCTTCGTATCATATTCAGATCGTAGTCAGACACCACCTCGCCCTGTGATGTAAGGGAGATAACTCCGTGCTTCTGAGTGGTGTTAAGAGCCTAGCCTTCCAACGAGGGTTTAAAATTAACACCACTCTAACTTATAATGTTGGAACCGACAATTGCCGAGCTAGTTTTCGTGGCCCCCAGTGTCACCCTCATGGGTATCGGCATATACTATATTGACTGCATATGCCTTCAGCTTCCAACCCTGGTCCCTAAAAAGCTTGTACACGAAGTCTGTAGAGCGGTATCATATTCCCCCACCTCGTCTCGTGTCCGAGCCTCTCGTTTTCTAGAATTTTGTAAGTGAATTCTAATGAATGGCAGTGAATATGTTGATAGTCGACACGTCCAGTACTCTACCGCTCGGCTAGGTCGCTGAGTATAGAGAAAGTGCTAGATTTTAATGGGTTCGCGATGAAAACCTAGCTAGAGGTAAACACGACATTCGAATTAGCAATGCTAGTATTTATAGACTTCATAGTAGGGGGCTAGGTAGAAGAGAAGATACTGAACACGGGCATTCCGTTCCTTTCCGCTGCAGACAGAAGCCATCTTACCACAGAACCAGAAAGGGGTCGCCAAGGGTTACTTCGTAGGTATATAATATTGCTTTTGTATTCCGATAACTGCCAGGATTGCCTGCCTAGGGTCTCCTTCTGCCTATTAGAACGCGAGCCGTGGGGAGATATTGAATCCACCCTGACATGAGCTTAATTCGACTTCGTTGGCTTTCTACTCTTTAAGTTCTATGGTTTTCTGGCGTTTGCAGTATAATGCCACCATCGACTTAAACCTTGTCGTAATGTTTTCTTTCTATACTTGCCTAATGCATACTTAATCTCGAGGTATAAGGCCTTTGGTCAATTCAAAGTCATCTCCCTATTTTTCGGCGCATTTTCGTAGAGTTTCAATATCCAGCCGTTTAGGTGATTACCTAGGTATGTAGTTGGTTATAGGGGAGCCCCCTAAAGTCCTACTGTCTTGAATGATGTGGCTTAGGTACGTAATTTTACAATTAATAACAATTTCAGAATTGCTTTAGAAGGAATGTTATGAGACCTAACCGGTGTTGCCGTCGACTCTTTTTCTAATACGAAGGGATTCTATTAAGAATCCGAAGCTGAGCTTTATTGATCATCTCGCTTCGATTGGCTACGTTTCAAGTACTCCGCCACCGCCATGGCTGTGTGCGTAAAATAAGACATGTCAGAAATTGTGGCTTGCGTCAGGTCCAGAATTTTCTTACTACATTTAGGAAGAATGGCGTTTGCCTTCTCGGAGATGCCAGCTCTCTTCGAAGTTAAACGTATCAGGTAAACTCCCGTACGGTGGCTACTTGGGAACAACTATGATGCGTATCGCCGGTCATTTCCGCGTGTAGGGCGGGCGCATTTGATCGCGAAGTGTTTCATCTGGATTTGGTTGGATATAAAATGATGTATGTCCGTATCATCTAGGCCATTGAGCTTATTAATTACTTATGTTGGGTAACTATAAGCCGTTAATGGTATTCTGAGTCATTGGAATAGAATTATTGGGCAAGTTTCAACTATTGGTTCGGGGACGGGCGTATTATGACTGCCTTGAGAGCATCGCCAACACAGCAGTGCTAGTGGTGGCGATAGCCAGTCTCCTCTATACCTCTAGTTTATATTAGCGGTGGCGGCTATGGGCTCCCTAAGAAAATTTTCTATGGTGGAAATTTCGATTATTAGACACTTTATCTAGAAGTACATCCTTTCTATTTAGACAAACCGTGTCCCGCACAGCAATGTTCGACTCCCCAGCCTAGTTATACGGCACTATTTGGCCTGTAACATAAACATGGCAACTTATCCACCATAAGAAGAACTCTAGGCTCGTGTTGTTTAACTAGTTTCCCTGGCTCTCACGGATAGGACATTGCATATACTGCGTGGAAGCTCTTGCTTCCTTATATTGGGCTCATTCCCCTCTAATAAAGGGGTATCTGTTCGCGGGATTGCCTTATCCAGACGACATGTTGTACCCATAAGCCCATGGTCCTTCGCCGTTCATATAACCTCTAATGACATTTCCCTGAATTTCATTGTCTTCGAAGCCTGTCCCATCCTCATACTGTCTCGTTGCATCATCCTCTTGCGTGGCCTGACTGGCCGAGTCCCTTTTAAGAGTCAGTTAATATCATCACCGATATGTCGTCAAACTTACCAAACGATAGAACCTTGGTTGTTCTCGGTAGACCAACGTCGCGCAGATGGGGGATCGCCGGAGTCATTAGACTCCGGTTGAGTCTTTTCATAATGAGTGTATGGGCCTTGTGACTGACTGGATACGCTATCCGTCCATGTCGTATCGCCGTGGTTGTCCGCTATGTCTAACGCTGGCGGCGAATATGTTACGGTTGCCCCATACCTGTCTAGGGCTGGATTGCCAGTCTGGGGCTTTGACTGGCTGTACGGATCCGCGTTGCTGGAAATGGAGTTTGAGTCCATATAAGCGCTCGTTAAGTATGGATCCGTTTGATACGATCCACGCCAGACATCGCTGATGCTAGTGGTGGCGCTCGTGTTGCTTGTTGGGTATAGGAACGGTACACCTGGACTCGAATGGTGGTGGGATGATCCCCCTAGTGGACAGAGATCAAGGGTTGTTTTGTGCGCTACAGCGTCGGCGTCGCCTTCTTCGGGAATCGACGCAGAGAAGACTGCATGAGTGTCGATAGAGGGATATGGAGTAAGGCTCCCATTTTCGGCTCGAGTTAAAAAATCGATGCTGGTTGCGGTTAACTGACCCCCAGCTATATCGCTAACCTGCACATTCGAAGCATAGGTATTGCTAGAAGACCCGCGCCAACAATTAGGAACAATGTCATGGCCTGAAAACTCCCCAGCATCATTATCTAAGGTCCTATAGACGTTGCTTGACACCTGAGGGACTCTCGGGTGTAGACGGCGGGGGTGAGAGCTCTTGTAAGGCTTACCGGACGTTGACCGGCCGTGGTTCCTAAGTTCGTCCATTCGATGCTCCGCCATATCTAATTCGTCTCCAGTGACGTTGGGGTATTGAGGATCGATATGGAGCTTTATACTGAAAGAAAACGCTATAGTGGAATTGGTGAGCTTTTTATGGGCAAATAAGGCTTAGGACTCGAAGGATCTCGGGCGCTCCCACCTTTTGCCTATAAAAAAGGATGCCTTGTTCGGAGATCAAGAGCTTCACCCAATCACTTTCCGTTTGCCCTTGTATAAACTGCCTAGAGTGGGTCGCGGACGAGGCAGGATAAAAGGGGCAGATATACCTACGATGAAAGAGGATACCGAGCCATGGGCCACTGTTGGAAGGACCGCAGGAATTAACCAACGAAAGCCTCCTTTTCACAGTAATGGGACGTACGATCATGCACCTCCTATGAGCACGCCGCCGTTGAGTTGTCATCGATTACTAAAGGTATCAGGATCGTTGGTAAGATCGAAATACATTCTGCCTAACACCAGGCAACCGTTGATCTATGGGCAGAATAGATAGTGATGGGGGGTGTTAGTGGGTGCCAAGTACCCGGGAATCTTAAGGCAATCAATGTATCGGATTCCTTGTTGGTGGGCTGGGAGCCTTCGATTCAGCTGGACAAGTGAAGAAGCACAACATTCTATTCTATTAAAACGACGCGCTTCTCTTGACGTGAGGGCGTTAGGCCTTTGAGACGTTACTTAGTTTAGCAGCATACGAGGGTGTTGTAGGCTTTTATGACCCTAGAACTCATGTGGTTGCAGTTTGGTTTAGGCGATCTAGCGGCTTGTAGAAGCGACAATATGTGAAATTACACCACTCCCTCATCATACGAACCTCGAATGCCGGCGGGGTAATTAGCTGCATAACGTCTCGTATTCAGGCTTTACCTTAAGAGGTAGCTCACGTTGTACGTTGGGAGCGTATCATCGAGCGGCTTGCATAGGTGTATATCAACAGGCGCACGAGGTGTGCGACGGAAAGCAGGCATATAGTTGGACTATGGAGCGAAACCAAAAATCAGCTCGTCTCCTATCCTCTCCGGGATTCGTTATTATATTCACACAGTTTGAAGATCATCTTCAGCTTTTACTTGCCTTAAGTACTCAGACCTAACCTCCCACATCTTTACCGAAGAGGACCGCCAAAAAAACATCTTAATATGAGTAGGTAGATATGGTTACCTCATGCATAATATGTAGCCTGTTATTTTATTAAGGCGAAGAATTTGAGCCCGTATTGGAGATCTTACAGAGTAACTCTTGGTTCTTAGCTCAGGGGACGAATAGGGGAAGTTTAGAATATGGATGGTCGCACAGCACCCTTTAACACTAAAGATATATTGCAACCAGATGCTATATCAGACGCGGGGGTCACATAACATGGCATACCGCAAGCCAGCCGGCCAATCGCTTCGACTTACCTGGGCGTTCTTAGTGCTCATGCGGCGCTCTAAAGTATGTAGTAGCGTTTTCGAGCAAAAACAGCCGCGATAAACCGTTCTTCGTTTTCAAACTAAAAATCATATCTGATATGAATACTTCCAGGGTCCAGGGGAGCTGATGACTGCAGTTCCAAGCTTATTTGGAACTTCGTATTGACCATATGTCAGTGACCGATGGCACACACAATATGAGAATTTGACACGGTTCATGGTCACCCCCTACAGCTTCTGTAGCAAGAATCGTTCCGCTTTATCCTTTTATCTACTATATCTAGTCTAATTCACAGCTTCAGTACCTCATCCTGCCTTGTCATGCTAGGTTCAATTAACTACAGCCTACTATCCATGGTCGGCCGCGAAATCCGGTTCTTACGCACAGAATCGCGACGTAGAAACCGACGGAACTTTGAAGTCTCAATACGACACATTCATCGAATAGTGCGAGGCTTGCAACGGCGAGCCAGCCGTCCAAGAGCCAACATCTCTACCGTCTACGATATGTCGACCAAATGTAGCGTTCAATGAACTGTCGGTTCTTTATCACTGCCAACAGGGTGATAGGAATGGGTCCGTATGGAACTCAGATTGGGGGCTATATTTGCGTATTCTTGGGAACTGCAGGGGCGTTCATACTTAGACTAGAGTGGCAGCGTTGGAAGCTCATTGGAAATGTATATTGCCCAAGGCTCATGAAGGCAAGTTCTTCCTAAAAATAGAACTTCCAAACTAACGAATTCACAGAAGGCAAGTAGTGAAATTCTCAATAGATGGCGTATATAAAACCTAAGTTCTGATGTGACTTCAACCTTAAACCTGCATTAAGCTGGGCACTTCGTGCTGTCTTCGTCCCCGCCCCTTTACTATACTTCCGGCTCCTGAAGCGTGCCAGAATCGTTCGCTTCCTCCTGCTGCTGCTTCCAGCGATACCCCTTTTCAACGCCAAGTTTCTTCTGAGCCGCATCGCACAGCTGCTCGTTCCCACAGTCGCACTCTCCGCCCTCTCTCAGCCATCGATACGTGATGCTCCACCGGTCCTCGCGTTTCCTCACCGTGCCATCTGGTAACGTGTCCGTCTTTCGCTTTCTGATCCCATGCGTCCAGTGCAGTCTGGAATCTCCCGACATCTGCATCATACTACGCGGAGTCAAGTCGACGTCGACTCGCTGCTCGCCCTTTTGGAACTGCATAGTGACTGGCGAGCCGAGAGACAAAGCGTAAAGCTGGTCATACGCAGAGTGCGTGTCTACATGGGGCGGAATCCCAGATCCGGGCGGATAATGTTGTAAGCATACTTGCTCCGGAGGTCGTCCCTCTCTGGTAGGGATGAGTGGCTGGAGCCAGTCTGGAAATGGCTTGAAGGGAATGTCGGGGTCCACACCAAAAGTCTTGTAGTCGAATGTATAGCCGAAGTGAAGTGATATTCTGCCTGTGCGGTCTGGCCATTCTAGTTTGTTGCGAAATATGTTGATGAGTTCCCGCTCATGCTCTGGTGTGATGAAATTGTCTTGCCAGAAGATGCCCGAGGGCTCAATCGGGAGTTCCAGCATCTTTCTCAAAGCTGAACCATGCGATTCTTAGTTTTTGAAGTGCGGTACTCTCTTATTGCTATTCATGAGGCATGTTAATCGAAGTGTTCCGAGGGTTTTTATGTGTGTTTCTATATGTGGATCGCGCGATCGAGACAACCAGGTAAATTGCCGAAGGAGTGAGATTTTCCCCAATACCAGACTCGACTACATCCAATAAAGCAGCTTTATACGTCCTCAAGACATGGCCAACTACCACTGGAGAGCGTTCTGCGGAAGCAGCAAGCCCCCGAGGATTCTGACTGAGTTCTCAAGAGAAAGAAAGACTATTATATTATCTCTGTAAAATGTAAAATTTTGGTCTCAGCTCAGGACCTAGGCCGAGATGGCCCGTGCGCAGCACTAGATTCCGAGATTGTGAAAATCCGCACTTTGTCTCGCCGGGGTTGCTCCAAGGAACATCAAGGCGGGCACGGAAACCAAGTGCTTGGCGACCGGTCCGGTCGAACATTTCGGGCGAGGCTACTGCCAAAGCTTGCAGAGTACGATATTGATTTCGTCTGCAGTGCTGTAGTGCCACAGCATATTTCTTCGCGCTTAGCAAGGTAGTAACCACATAATCAGTTTGGTCGGATTGCCTGAAGCCGGAAGCAAAGACATGGCTTTTGCTGATGATTAACCGTCAGCAACCCTGTGACCAAGCTAGGGAAAATCAAGGAGGCTAATGGTCTACCTATGTCGCAAGCCCGCGTCAGGCTCACCATGGCTTAGGGTAAAGCAGCAACAGCTCAGGAACTTAGACAACGAGGGAAGTCCTCAAAGTCCAGATCGTGGTGGTGTCATACTTAGCTATTACTACCACATGCTGACAACATCCTTGTCCATATAAAAATGTCTCGTTATACGATGATGTATATATTTGAATACGGTAGGTGGTTTAGTTGAGAGTACCCGGATGTGACTCAAGGTAGTCCAATCTCCAGCTCCCTATCCTGTATGACACAAAGCATGCTAATACTTGGTAAAGACAATTTAGGTAACTTCAAGTCACCTACCCGTCGTTACACAGCATTAGGCTTAAATGATAGGGGAATAAAATCCTACCATGCGGTTATCTTATCCCATCCTTGTATGTTCGTGTTGTACCTAACTCGTCGTCATAGTCGCCGTCTCTTATTTGTCTAACCCTTTCGGAATTTTATACAATTAACCGGTAGTCTCACTTCTACTCTGTATTTTATACCTCGGTATTAATTCTATTTGATTATGTTGGTAATAATCATCTACGAGGCGTGCCTTATCTATAGTCTTGTAGTATTTTAATCAATATGAACCTCTTGTTCTTTTTTGTTATCAGTACAACACTTTTACGAGCACCAATGTCTTGAAATAGGCGAACAGAGGTTCACATGGGCTTCAAAGACAATCCGTATATTCTCCACATGCTTTCTGTATCAAGAGATCTTCGAATCACTCAAGTAACCTCATCCAATCTACTTACCATATGCAGGTAGCTACACGCAAACAGAGACGTTTCGAGCGGGGTTCTCGTATTGCATCAACTCTCTTTTCATATCTAAGCTTATATATACCTCGTTCTATTAAGTCTAATTCATGTAGATCGCATCGTCCTGCCAGGAATGTCCACGAACTTAAGTAAGAGGTAGTCAACGTGGCCGGTTTTCCCACCCGCTAAGCTCGGCTCCGAAGGAAAAGGTTCCCCGGTTGGGTGGCGTCAAGCCACTTCTGCATTGGGGTTTCAGTCGTTGGTACGGTGGTATCCTATCAACCTCGCCCACGGCCTTTGTAATTTGAAAAGCGTGTACGCTAGAAGACATACTTGGGGTAGCTATATGTTCAAGCTTCGTCATCTGTCTTGAATGGCTTGCTATCTGCCTACTATCTAGGTAGGTATATCCCAGAAACGATGAAGTTCGATTTGACCAGCAATCAGTACACGGGGAAACATCCGAAAGTCCCCGGAGAGGGCCCTATGCAAGGGAGGAGGTATCACGACATTACAGTTTCCATTCCGGGGAGCGTTTACTTTCTCCGTAAGCTGCATATGATATGAAGACTTAGACAATGGCTTGTTATCTACGACTAGAGATTGGAACCATAGATCTCGTGTGTAACCCCAGGGCTGACGACATGTTAATAAAGTAATGCCTGTCAGATAATGCCTGTCAGTTGAATCTAGTTCATGAATGATCACATGAAAGAGGATTCCCCGGATCGCCATTAATATTACTCTTGCAGAATCATTCCACGCTATGTTTTCAATATTTCTTGTCTTGACTAACTTGGAGATAGATACCTCAACCGAATTTTCCGCAAATACAAGCCATCAGAAGATGTCACAACGCCTCAACATCTTATGAGGTATTATTTCGACATGGCATGATCATAGCCGATTCACTTATTCAAATAGTATGCCGATTAAATAACATTGTACCTTTAAGCATTATACTTGTTTAGAATTAGAGTTGGATTACCGTATACAATCTCAAGTCAGCCACTAAACTAATACCTCTGACCCGAAAACAAATACGGACCCTAGAATGTTTTGCACAGGCGCCTCTTCAAAACAAATTGCTTATTAATTCATACTAACTACTTGTAATGAGTAAAAGATTGCTTCCCTAAGAATTCGCGGGTTGATCATTTAGGAGTTTATTATTGTCACAAACTCAGCTTCAAGATGATCTACATGTAATACGTCGATAGAGGATAAAAGCGACAATAGGACAAATGGAGTTATTCGAAGCAGCGGTGAAATGATAGTATATTCGCCGCCTTCGAGTCCGTAACTGCAAGTGGACTAAAATGGTTACTTACTACAGAATGTGGCGGTCATAGGTCAGGTAGCTCAAGAAGCAAAATTATTACAATGTAATCGGCCATGCTAACTAAAACTGACCCCTTTACGATTTGACTTTAACCTAGAAAAGCCTGAATCCAATAGAAACTGTCTTGATTAAGCTAACATATTGTACAGCTAGGTGCGGAAGACTTGCGGCGCTACTGAACTGACGGAACAAAGAACCTACTTTGTGTGTATTGCTCTTCAGGTGCCTGAGGTACCTAATATAAAGTCAACCTATGGCTATACATTTATATCTTTGATATCATAGTACATAAAACTGCATAACTACAGTAACCTCAGCCGGTAAGTATTGATACAGAAGATATAAGCAAATTCTCATCAATAAGGGGAGCAATGCTAAAATAAATTTAATAAACTTAGTTGTAAAAGTTTATCGAACTTCTAAGTTAGGAAAACCGGAATTTCATATACTCTTTAATTAAGAATTTTTATACGCTATAAATAGTTTTTTTATTGTATGTAGGTATCTGCCTGATAGTTACCAATAAACAGGAATATTATACTACCTTAAGTAAATAAGCACCTAAACTATATATATCTCGAGAACTATTGTATCTTACCTCTCTTGGTAGATACATAGTCCTAATCACGAGAAATATCTACTTTCCTTACTTTCAAGCCCCTATATTCACTACTCGCGCTACATTTGGCGCCGTATCCGTTAAATGGTGAGTTATAAGCTACTCAAAGGTTTAGGACAAAGAGCTTAAAACTATGTTAGTGGTCTCGTCCTGGGTTAGTGCATAGTGTATTAGGAAGAGCACCTCCTAAATATAGCTAGGTAGAGACGATATCTAAGTCCCCTTTGCAGATTTACGTCGAAGAAACCTTTAGCAGTATTCTTCAAAGAACTAGGCAGCGCGTCTCTATTAGGTTAACAGGATATAACATAGAAGCGGATACTTTCGGTTGACAGAATAAGTATACACAATACCTATGCGTACTTTCTCAGAGCCCATTCTATTCCTTCTATCACAGATTTCCTTTTATCCTTTCGCGAGATTATAGGAGGCACTATTACGAGTAGGATCTCGGTGGTATAACATGACGGACGATGTAGGTATAATGTCGATGTAATGCCGTTAGACTGGGACACTCCCTGCTGACAGCATAGTTATGAGTCTAGGCGGTAGCAATACTATAGGATACGACGCGATCGAGTTCGAGCGATCGAAGTGTTGAGGTCTCGTGGCATGATTATCATCAAGCCTTGTAATTAGCCACGTCGACCCCCTTTATTTCGAGGCACGTTATTTGAATACTTCGCTCTTTGGCCTCCTACCAACATCGATGCTTGAGACAATGAAACTGAGTGGCATCGTCTGGAATACAACGTGTAACTAGTATCTTCTATACGCCGTAGAGATTGGGCTATAATCGAGTTCCAGTCTTGACCCATAGGCAGTAGAACTACATTGATGTTTCTGTCATAGACCGAAGAATCTGATGGGGCAAATATTTTGGCGTTTAGATTGTTCGGGGGCAATAGGATCTTAGGTGACTGTCGATTTTCGGACTCGAAGGCAGAAATAGATCAATCACGCAGCTTCCTTTTTCGATGTCGAGACTATTCTAACCGGTAGAGGTGTGCCCCTTAGGTAAACACTTGTTTAATATATTTGTCATCGATTGCTGATGATCTTTGGACTGAATTGGTTGACAGGTAGTTACTGAATCTTCGCTGAGGTGTGCGTTAGGCGAGGCCCTCGACGTGTTTCGATGCATGAGGGCACGGGATCGTCTAGGAAAGGTTTACATGGGCCGTAATCGAAACCTAGCGTACCTATGGGATCCGTTCTATTAGCATCTCGAGACGAGGGATAGTATGGCCCGTATATTGATGGTTTACATAGACGAACTGTCACCAGTTTGTGATTCTAAGCGAGAAGAATGTTAGGCTGTGTTTCCAGAGGGAGGGCGCTAGATATTTAAGGGGCCAATACAAAAGATAGTTGGTAGGTAATAATAAAAGAGTCAGCGTGGGCTTTCTAGGTACTAAAGTCGGCCCCTATTGGCGAGGCTGGGTTACTCTGTTCCGAAAATTTTCATTTCCCTGTTGGGTCAGGCTGCACGTGTCTCTACGTAAACAAACCTTTTCTTTCCGAATAGAATTATTGCAGCTGAATCGTCGGAGGAATAACCCGAAGTCTACAACAAACCGCAAAAGAGGAATTAAACAGCCCTAATATAAATGTGGTGGGTTTGCTTATGATGCAAGAAGGTTGAAGACCATGTGCCTCACCATGGAATGGTAGGCCTCCAGCAAAGTAAACATGTGCCTACCTAGCTA